AGTCATGTTATGGTGACGACTAGAAATCGGGGAAGATTATCGCTGTCGTTTTCGATTCAGGAACTGATCGCGATTTGAATGTTGAAATTCAATATTGGTGCAGTTATAATTACCTAAAATGTTTGTTATCTGTTTAAAATGTAGCGTCCTTGGACAAGTTCTAATAGTAATAACGGGTGTGATAACAACACAGACTTTTTCCAGTGTAGTGATTCCAATAGCGATGGTGAATAATGTGAAACAGAGATTCCAGTGAATAAGTTTCGGATGCATTTGCATATTGAAACACAGAGGGTATGTTTTAATGTATATAAGAATCTACATCTCAAGTTTGGTTTCGAGGAAACAAACTATTACAAGCAACATCAGATCTGACCGAAATTCCTTTCTCAACGGTACGTAAAATAGTCAAAAACCAAACTTATGAACGCGAGACGCGATGTGATACAACATAACCAAAACCTTTATATGTTTATCTAATGAAATCGTTGAAAAAAATATACGACTGTTACAAAAGCAATGAGATTCCTACAACTGAGATCATAAGGAAGAAATTGAATACTTCCGGCCATAACGTGAGCTGCTGTGACAAAACTCTTCAGAATTGGAAAAAGAAACTACGATCTTCAGATTTAAAATAATAAACAAACGTCAAGCAGTTATGGAATGCAAAAGAATAGTGGAATTGCGTAACAAATATATAGAACAAATAACTAAATATAGAGAAGAACAACAGCAAATTTTCTGTTCGGACGAATCTTGTTATGACTCGCACGCCACAGTTACGAAAGGGTGGACTGATGGTTCAAGAATGTGTACGCCTAACATGCTTGCAATCAAAGAATCGCCACTTATCATTGTGTGTTGCCGAGGAAGTAAAAGATGGGTTCCGAATTCTTTGAAATTATCTGTAAAAAAACTTGAGGACTACAATAATGACTATTATAAGAACATTGAAGCTATTATTTTCGAGGAATGGTTTGAAGATTTGAAGAAGACACATTGATCGCAAATTTGGAAGCGAATAGTGTGATAGTTCTTGACAACGCTTCCCATCATTCGCGTCAGCTCATCAAAGCACCGAATAGATGGAATACAAAGTTTTTAATTGGATAACAATTTGTATTTTGAGGATTACTATACCAAAAACCAACTACTTGAAGTTTTACAGACAAAAACATTCGAAAAAGTGTATGCGCTTGAGAGTATTGCTGAAAAGTATGGACACACCATACTGACACTTTCCCCCTATTTTTGTGTTTTCAATCCCATCGAGTTGATTTGGGGAAAATTGAAACAAAGCATCAGACCTAAAAATAATTTTCCAAAATTTGATAGAGCTAATTAAAGAAGAAGTATTTAGTATTACCGAAAAAGACTGGCAGAAAATGATTAAAGAAGTAATTTTAGTTGAAAAAGACTATATGCAGATTGGACACTTCCATATTATTGGTGGAAATTAAATCAATAATGATGTCGACAGTGATAGTGAAACAGATAATATGAAGAAAGAATTATCAGAAGCTTTCGAAGAAACTTAGTGAAGTGTTCTTGAAGCGATTGATTGAATCTAGGTATATGTTAGTAACCAGTATTCAGAAGTATTTTAATTATCACCCTGTTATTTGAATCCCTACTTTCCCACTCTCCTATATAAACGAAATATTCTTATGTAATCAGAAATGATCATTGAATAATGAAATTAGGTATCTCCCTAACTATATTATTAAAGAGGAGCTGTTGGAAGGTAGTTTGCACTATATCGTTTACTTGAACTATAACTACCATTTGAAATATAAGAGTAAATAAGGGTTATCTACTTAATTGATTGAAAAGCAGAATTCAGGTTGCGACCTACTAATAACTGAAGTGTATTCATTGTTGTGATTTTTATCGAATATTTCTCGTACTCAACATTAGGCAGTCGATACCATAGTTTTTGTTGGATTACATGCAACAAACATGTAGTAGTGATGGAAGTGAATTCAAAGAAAAGGTTGACAAATGAAAGAATTATTTAACGAGCACGCTATAAAATTTCTCGTTTTCATTTAATGAATGTTCATCATAAGTTTTTCTCGGTTCATTCATAATAGTCACGTGAAAGAGGGACAACGTGTTGATTAATAGAAACAGTCTTTTGTCACGAATACTCACGTGAATAGATTCGAAAATGCCTTTTGATGCAAACTACGTTTTACAAGAATATCTTGTGCATACGAAAGTTATCATAAGGAATATTTTTTTTTGAAAATCCAACACACAGTGTACTCCAAGAGTTGAGATCTTCAGGACGTACGTTTATATACATCGTTTCTCAAGATAAATAAAAAAATAACTTGTTGAATAGTCTCAAAAACACCCTGTATAAATATTCCATAATGAAAATAATACACAACTCCGTAATACTAAACCGATAGATGCCATAGAACGCAATGGCAAGTTCAATTTACTTTGAAAAGTTTGTTTTTTTGGGAAAGAAATTTTTTGGTTTTGTACTTCTCCATCTGCATTCAAAAAAATGTGAGAAACTCCCAAAAAAAGAAGAAAGTTACTTCTTTGAATGATAAAGAAGTAACTTTCACGCACAAACTGGAAGGAACGGTATTGAATTGTGTGAAGAGATTGGATGAATTCAACCTAATACACCAGTCAATGAAAATATTTTCCGTTTGTTTAAAGGTGGTGAAGATGATGAAATGCAAAAGTATTCTCGGACAGTCAAGCGGCGTTGGAAGCTCTTGGCTCTCACCGAGCATCGTCTATATTGGTATAGTCTATCTATTCCCAATTGGAACGGCAATAAAAATAAGAGTACAGTCATAAACATTTCTTGCCTGTGAAACCTAGTCGCCCAGATAGTTAGTAAACGTGCTATCAAATGTAGTTGAGGAATAAAGGCTAGCTGGACTGGCTGAATACTAATTTTTTGTCCGTTTCACAATATTTCTTTATCAGTGCCGCGTGTTCGTAGGGTTAGGTGAGGTAGTTAGTGGTTTTGCAAACCGAGTTTTGAAAACTTTTTCTAGAAATCAATTACCCTAACTCCAAACTGATATTTTTGCACTCGACGCGCGTTTCGCTAACAAGGTTAGCATCTTCAGGAGAAGCAAATTGATACTGAATCTAAAGACAATGGTTAGCTGTTTATATACCTGAAGTTTTTTGGTCGGATGTGGACTTTGTTTGTTGAATGATGATTATCCTAATTGATTTTTCGGTAATTAACTAGTGGAACCACTACCTGCAAATTAATTTGTCAACAAAAGATTGAAAAGAGTACGCGAAACGCGCGTCGAGTGCAAAAATATCAGTTTGGTGTCAGGGTTATTAGTCTCTAGAAAAAGTCTTCAACTTTTACACCAAAGGTTCCAATCCTATCATTTGAACCGATTTTTGTGAAAATCCTAGTGTTTTTGGGTACTTTCTGGAGACCTTTTGAAACAATTGATAACGTTACGCGTGAGGAATCTGTGTCAATCGACAGGGATCCGGAATTTGAAAATAAGGACCTACATGTTCAAGTTCAGCGAGTAATTTTAAATATTCATGAATGTTCGAAAAAGGAAAACTGTCACACTTCACAGAATGCTATTGTGAATAGAATATGCGAGTTAACGAAACTATCTCGTTCGACAGTTCACCGAGTCATTCAAATAGGGGATATCATCGACCATGCAATGAAACGAAAACAAGGGAATAAAAAATTCGGAAACGTTGATGGTGCTACAAAAGATGTGATTCGGCGAACACTTTATGGTATATACCAAAAAAATGAAGTAACAACCTCGGAAATGATTTGGTATAAATTACTCGACTATTCCGATTACAATTACAAATCTTTAGAAACTCTACGAGGTGTCTTATTGTTTTGTGGTTTCAAATATAAAAAATTGAACAATCGGATGGTCATAATGGAATCGACACGCATTGTTCAACTCCGACAAGAATATTTGAGGCGAATGAAAACTATTTTTTCTGATTGATTCGGCCGTTACTTGATGAAGATCCATAGTAATTTCACAAACTACACTTAAACGATTTGATCTCCACTAACTTTGTCTCTGGTATGGATTTCTGGCCATACTGGCCTGGAAGGCAATGAGGCTGCTGACTCCCTTACAAAGAGGGTGCTGCAAACAGCTTTATCGGACCAGAACCTGTCATTGGCATCGCTTTATTCTTTGCCAAACAAAAATAGACAGTGTGTGTCGTCTCTGTTTGGAAAATTGTGGAACAACAGAGCACATACTTTGTGCCTGCCTCGCAGGGGGTCAAATCAGGTTCTTAGAGTTCGGCAGAGGCGTACTCTTACCACCGTACAAACTAATCAGCTTCATTGAGAAGCTGGATTTATTTGGTCGAGTGTGAATAGATGTGATTCACAATAAACCCTTGCGGGTTGCAGCGGAGGGTCAAATAGACCCACTCAATTTGGACCTAACCTAACCTAGAGTCAACCATAGTTTTATCCTAATTGAGTGATAAGTATTTTTATGGTAGTTTTTTATAACAAATGTTTGACGTGATTCTCTAATTAATTGATACACAAAACGATTTGAATAACCCAAACACCAAATGAAAAGTTATTTACTGAAAACCGCACCCAAATCAGTTGAGCCATTTTTGGGATTAAGGCGAACAAATGCACAGGTAAACAGACATACATACAAACAGTCAAACTTATGAAGATCGTTTAAAATTCAGTTGTTTCAATAAGTTACCATACAATAATATATTCAGGTTATTTCTACTGAGAAAGTTAGATGCATGTGAGTTGAGGTAATCCCGGAATGATGTTTATAAGTTTTTATTGATCGACCTTTGTGTCAGATTCCGGGAAGCGAAAATCGGGAAAAAAAGGTCGGTAAAAAAGTCAGGAATATATTATATCAAGCATAATAAATTTCTGTCGATTCCGTGCTTTGTAGAAACGTCCGTACAATTTCAACGTTTGTTCCAGAAATTCCGATGGCCTGTGGCTAGACCCATAGAAGAGGACGAAATCCTTCTTATCGAGTTATATTCACGCAACCGCTTATTTTCCGATAAACTCATCGGTTCTTACCGAATGGTTTTGCAGAAGGCGGTGAAGGATGGGAAATTATCAATTTCCGACAGCCTCCTTGATGCCAATAATAAACTTCTTCAAGTAAGTATCTAAAATGCATTTATCACTGTCAACACATCGAACAGAAAAAGCAATTACCTGTGAAAATATTTGTTCGGTAAAATAAAATATTGAAATTGGTTCACGTGGAGAGATTTTTGAAAATTGAATATTTATCGAATCCCGCAAATAACTTGATAGCATGATCATAATGTAGGTTTTGATGTGTATCCCAGAATTTTTAGGAAAATTTATTATTAGCGTGAAAGAACACACTGAACATTAATATTTGAAAAATGAATAATATCAAATAATGAACCGGTTGTGTTTCGATCTGTGTTTTGTGGAAAATTTGAATCGATAAAACGTTTCAGGGATTTCAAATCATTTTATATCATATTAGACAATGGAAGTCAGAACTAATGAAATGTAAATAATAAAAGTATTCATTATAATTATAATAAAAGTTTCGAAACTTCAAAGCAGTAGAGAAATTCTTGCGCATTGGTAATTGCTGCTTCAAAATTACTGCATTTCCAGTAACTTTTCGTTTGGTCAGTTGATTTATGCAACAATTCCGGAAATGAGTTTTTTTTGAGTCGTAAAACCTCCCCAATAGACAATATTTTACCTCTTTTTCTATTCTCTATGTTATTTTCTTTTTGAGAATTGTAGAATAAAAAAATATTTGTTAAACATATCACTTGAATTCTTTCATCTACGTGACTCAAAATGCTAACAAGTGGATAAGATTCGAAAAACTTTGACGTACATGTTCAAACTCAGATTTTTCAAATATCTAACTACCATCTAACTGAGCCCAATGAAAAATTGAATTAGACTCTTATAACGTTGCATAGAACTGGCTGATACTTGATGAAAATCCATATTGAAACCCTTCATAGTGAAAATTATACAATGAACTGTATTAATAAGTTTTTCTTATAACATTTTCAATTATAGTGAATCGATTTTCGCAAAGATATAGGCGACAATGAACTTTTCTTCACAAATTCATTCAGTTTCAAATTACCTTTCCAATCGTTCGTGATTTTTCAAAGAAAACTCAAATCACATTTTATTATTCTCTCTTCGTTAACCAGTAACTCAACTCATTAAAAGTGGAGAGGTTCAGACTCGTGTTTAACTTTTCCCATGAAAGAAAGATTACAGCCATTATCAGTAAAGGTCAAGTAAGACGATTTTCGGAAACCTTACCGCTTTTAAAGTTTGAGTTTTGATTAGTTTGAGAAGTTTCTTTTAGAGTGTGGAGAAACTTAAGATTTGTCCACAATATTATTGTATAAAGATTTAAAGGAAAAACTGATAGAAAGAGCATTGAATCATTTTGATCATCATGTAAAATAAGAAAATGCGTTTTATTATATGAGTATTTTAATATTAAATTTTACAAAAAGGATTTGAAGCTTTATATCTTCTATTAATTATCTGCAAGCGCTTTCGACAGCTGGTCGTACTGTCATCTTCTAGGCACTCCTCAAACTGAACTTGTCATCCTGTTGTCTGCCTCTTTATACGGTCAGAACGTCTCAACTCAGGTATTTCAGGTATTTTAGGTAAATTTGCCTGTATTTGTACTGCACCAGGTACTCTTCTTTGTGTTAGAATTTTTCTAGGAATGTGTATGGCTTTGTTTAATATATTGAATGTGAGGTCTTGTTGTGTTTTGATTTGTACTTGTTCCTCGATAAGTTATTTATACTGTTAAATTTATGGATGTTCAAGTTTTCCCAAATGTCCAAGCGGTTTCCCTTGTTGACTTGTTTTATGAGTTTTATGTTCTCTGGTGGGGGGGAAATTATGTTTGTTTTGTATGGCGTGTGTTGCGAGGTTTGATTTATATACTATTGGATTTATGTATGCCTTTTTGTGCTCATTGTACCTTTGGCTCAGTTTTTTCTTTGTTTGGCCAATATATAATTTGTTGCAGTCCGAGCATTGTATACTGTATATCCCGTTTTGGTCTTCATCTTCTTCTTTTTCATAGTTGTTAATTTTTTGTGTTATCTTCGTGTTTGGCTTGTATGTGATGTTCAGTGGTTTGAAGACGTTTGTTAGTTTTTTGGTTTGGTGTCCTACGTACGTAAATGCTGTCCATCGTTTTGTCTGTTGGGGTAGCTTGATCCTTGTTCTGTATTTTTTGTTTGATTCTGTTTTCTAGTTTATCTATTGTCTTTTAGGTGTATCCGTTTTCGTTCGCTATTTGGTATATGACTTTCCATTCTTTGTTTCGGGCTTCATTGCTGAGTGGTATCCTTAACATTCTATATAAGAATGCGTTATAGGCAGCCATTTTGTGTGATGGTGGATGGTTTGAACTTGTGGGTATGGTAGAGCTTGTTTGTGCAGGTTTCCTGTATATTGCCATTTGAAATTGTGTTTTGATGTGGTTATATCCGATGGTTATGTCCATGTGGTTAAGTTTTGAGCTGTGTCCTTCCTCAATGCTGAAACATAGTTTTTGATTTATTTCGTTAATTTTTTTTGTTATTTGTTCTATTCTCATTCCATTGTTTTGTGAAATGTACAGTCCATCGTCAACGTATCTGAACCATTCTCCTTTTTCATCATGTGTTTTTGTTATTATTAAGATTTTCTCATCTATAGTTTGCAGGTATATTTCGGATATAATGCTAGATAGTGGGAATCCCATCGCTAGTCCATCTGTTTGTTTATAAATGTTCCCTTCAGATTCGAAATAATTTTGATTAAGTATTGTATTTAGACTGTGTTCCATTTGGTTAATGTAGGCTTTGTCTATGTTTTGGTGTTTTAGTTTCTCAGATATGATGTTGATACTTTCGTTGACTGGTATGTTGGAGTACATGTTTTTTATGTCAAACGAGAACAGTTTAGTGTTCGGGCTGACATTTGTCATTGAGATTCTGTCTGTGAGTTCCATTGAATTTTTGATGATGTGGTCGTTGTTCCTGTTGATTTTGTTTTTCAGTTCGTCGGCTATGATTTTTGAAATTTTGTATGAAGGTGCTTTGGTGAAATTGATAACCGGTCTTAGGTTTATTTTCCTTATGTATCTTTATCTGTGCGTTGAGTTTTGGTGCTTTTGGGTTGTTGACTGTGTATCTGTTCAATGCTTCGTTGTTGAAGATCTGTTTGTTGGATTTTATTAGGGTATTAATTTGTCTTTCATATTTCGTGGTTGGATCGTGATTCATCGTGCTAAAATCGTTTTCCGTTATATATTTGTTCACTTTCATACTTAATTCCTGTTTTTCAATAATAACTGTGGCGTCACTTTTGTCAGCTTCAACTGCTGTGAGGTTGCTGGAGATCAACTTCTTTTTTATTGATTTGATAGCTTTCGTGATTGCTGGTTTCTCCAGAGTCTTTTCTGGTTTTTTGATTATTTGTTTCAGCGTGTTGATTGCTTCTGATCTGATTTCGTCTACTTTTGATGCTTCTACTTGGTTCAAAGCCATATTATATGAGTGTACTTTAACTAATCATAGAAAAGAATTGTGTTAGCGTTTTTAAAAGTTTTAATAGAAATGATTATATCGTTTTATGAAAATCAATTTTTCTGAGCAACATGTTTACTTTTAGCCGATCACCTTCAGCTGAAATTGGGCAATTCTTTTCCTCCCGATTTAGTTTCAAATTCCAGGGAGAGGTTGCTTTTAGTTTCTGAAGAAACATATTTTCACACACTCACATACAATTGGTGAGAAATTGGTAAGAATATGTAAGAGACTGAAAAATATATATGTTTTCTTCAAGAAAGCAAAAAAAAGAACTCACAAAAAAACCAATGAATTTTTTTACTAATCTGTTCTAAAGGCGGCGATAAAACCATAATTCAAATGACTGAACATTGCAACGCACCTGTGGGGACATTACTCCACATCGATCAGTGGAGTGGAGTTGAGTAAATTTTTATTTTCAAATACCTCCAAAGTAAAAATTTGATTAGAGTTGAATCATCAGACCTGTGACGTCATTCCTCAGCACTTATTCTTTCTGTTAAAACGCAAGTTATTTATTGTTTACGATCAAAGCAAACAAAATCCGAGCTAAGCCGTGTTCTAATGGAAACTGAAGTACCAAACGTTTCGTGTGTTACTGCGGCAGACATATCAGATCACTGGAAGTTAAGAAAGTACTTCACCTGAAATATCTTCTCGGATGAAAGACACGTTTCTTTTTTTCAGGCAACCGTTGACTTCGAAGTACACTACATCATCCCTGACGACTCCATAGCTGCGTTCGACCTCCTAGAAGACGACCAACAGATGCTCATAGACATCGAACAGAACATTGCCAATATCGAACGTAACTTGGCCACAGGACCTCCAACAACAATTGCCACTACATCAGAAAAGAGAGGGAAAACGATGTCGAGGGCCAGCACATTAGCTACTGAAAAGGCTGCGAGTCAAGATAGAAAAAGGGCGACGCTGAAGAACATGAAGAGTTTCATAAGGTAAGTTTTTATGAACCAGAACAGGTGAAGCCATCTTTTTCAATAGTAGACCACCAACCCTTGCTAAATTTGTGGGGATTATTATGCTAACAATAATACATGCTGGTCAATCAATACCACCAAAAAAATATGACACGGCCATAAATATAATCATTGAAAAACAAAAATCCAACTTCTTTTGATTGATGACTTATCTCTTAAAACCGAAGGTAGATAATAACATTAAAGGGCACGACAGGAGTAAAGGTAATCGCATTGCCGACTCTTTAGCCAAGGAAGCGGCTGGACTAAGAATTTTAGGACCAAGTGGCACCCATGGCCTGATGATTTCGACAATTGCGGAACTACCCAAATGTTACACCTACGCTCAATCTCTAAAGAGATGGGATGGAATCAAAAGAAGCAATCTTGACAGGATCACCCTGGGCAAGCCTGGGAAGCTAGCGCCTAAGAAATATCTGGCGATGAGCATGAAAAATCTACGCTTAACAGTACGATTTCTGACTGACCACTGTCAACTAAGGAAACACCTCCATAATATGGGGCTAGTGGACACATCTCTATGCAGGATATGTGAAAAGGAAGATGAGACTGTCAGGCATGTCCTCTGCAAGTGCACGGAGTTATCGTCAATAAGAGAGTATGTATTCGGCGAGTCTTGGCCTACACCTGCCGATATAAAGGAGATGTCTCCTAGAGACCTGTCCACCTTCCTGGAAAAGACAGGATGGACGATGACCTAGGAATAGGAGGACAACTCCTCGGGAGAATGTACAATGGTCACATGTGGCCTAAGTGCTGTGGACCTACACTCACCCTCCCTACTCTACAGATACAGTTACAGATACCTGTAGTCTCCAAAATATCAGAGAAACTTCTATTCAACAATGGTGTATATGAACATAAACAATCAAATATTCCTTTAAAAATACAGGTCCGTATCTAAAATTTCAAAGTTGAGGATACTCAAGTTTGACGACACCTTGTGTGGTAATTTTGTGGTTGAATTCCAAGAGTATGGTAAACCAAAAGAGCAAGAGTTGATTTTTCGGTATTTTCCAATAGAAGTCGAAAATAGTGAATTTTCCAAAATTCAAGCGACTCTTTGTCTCTTTCGTTCGCAATCATATACTCTAATTTGACATGTATATACTTTTTCAAAATATTTAATTTTTTTCCAATTGCAGATTTTCTTTTTGGATATTTTTCCATCAGTGAATTGTATTTCAATTCCATATTCAGTATACTTGGAATATATGTGAAAATACAAGAATTTGATACTTGAGTTTTTTTAAATCTTTTCTCTCTTAAACTGAAGCATTTCACGTGGAAAAGCACAAATTTGAATATTTTGTATGGGATAGTATGTTTTTCTTTCATCTGTTAAATCACTTTTTTGACGAATATAACTTTCACAACTCCCCATTTTACGGTATCCAATTAAATAAAGAAGTAGCTTCAGATGAAAGCTCGGTCTACGTTCGGAACCAGCCAGTATTCAGTATTATCTATACACGTACAGTAGTGAATTTCACTAGTTCGGACTTCCATTGTCTACTATATAAAATGATTTGAAATCCCTGAAACACCAAAAAAAGGGGAATTAAAAATGAATACCTGAAAACAACAATCATATTAAGCAAAAAACCTGAAATGAAATAATAGTGAAATAAAATACAAGTAAAAATAGAGCAATTGAACAAAAAATAAATAAAAATAAAGAAATGAAAAAGAAAATAAAAATAAAAAGTGGAGAGATTCCAAGTCACGTTAGTTCATGACGTTTCGATTGTTAGTATCTACAATCGTCTTCGGGTGATGACTGGACTGATTCCTCTGAGAGATGACTATTTATAGGTCGTTCGAGTAACCTCTTCACCAAAACGTCTAAGAATGGCAATTCATTGTGGATTTCCTTCTCCATTGTGAAAGTGATGGAAGGTCTCACGCTGTTGATGTGTTTCAGAAAGGCGTATAGTTCAGAATTCCCATGGTTCCATATTATGAAGGTGTCGTCAACATATATCAACCAGACTCGATGTTTCTTGTGGACTTCTTCAATGGCCAGAGTTTCAAACCACTCCATACTAAAGACTAAGGTGGCTTGGAATCTTTCAAATTGTTAGTTTTACTTTCTTTTTCATTTCTTTATTTTTATTTATTTTTTGTTTAATTGTTCTATTTTTATTTGTATTTCATTTCACTATTATTTCATTTCAGGTTTTTTTGCTTAATATAATTGTTATTTTCAGCTATTCATTTTCAATTCTTCTTTTTTAGTTGTTTCAGGGATTTCAAATCATTTTATATAGTAGACAATGGAAGTCCGAACTAGTGAAATTCATCATGAAACATTGTCAATCACCTTCAAACAAACGTACAGTAGTTTTCATCCAAGGTATCAAATCGAGTTCACCCACTTGATCTAGATTTGATTGCAGTCTTTATATGTTTTGAGAAATTTCGAGTTTTTATAGTCTCCCTCCACGTAGCTACTGAAGATAAACTGGAAATTGGTTGCATTGAAATTTTCAGAGGAATATAAACACGTTCAGCATCTTCTTGTTCACCATATTTTCGGATGTCACAGTAGTATGGTAATTCGACAAATGCAAACATCTTTCAATAGAGAAACGAAAATTCCTTTGTTTGCATTCCATTTACCTCTCTAGCGGGTCGATCCTTTGCTCCACATCTGCAAACACAACTGTTATAATTTTTTTGAATTTGACTATATAACGAATGCAAATTGAAGATACCCCAGAACGAAAATGAGTCCAAAGATTCGAATTTCACCCTCATATATTTATATTCCGCCATTCCATTAGAAGTTGGTTGACTGAATTTGATACTGGCGTACAAAAATACATTATTCTCTTCTTCAGGTTAATATCTTTTCAATTATCTTGTATGTCTGATTTTCTCCTTGTTCTCATTACGGTAGTCAGTTTTCCATCTCGTCATACCTGACACTTCTATGAGATTGAAATGTATTTTTGTGTTCCATTGGATAGGATGCGTTGGAATTTTCAGAAAGTAACTCACCAACGCAGACGAAAAATTAATTCTTTATTAGAATTTTACCTTCGATGAATATAAACAATGAAGAAGTTGAACGACAGGCAGTTTTTTCAGGGACTGAGTGCAATAGACCTGTTTGAACGAGTAAAATAAATATAAATGGTCATTCATCCTGATTTTTCTGACCATGCACTCCGAATTATTAAACCTTCAATTAAATCCTGGTCTATTGATGAGCCCTATTACACTCTCAAACGAGCGTTCAATGACCAAAACATTTATTATTTCAAAACCTTACTGTCGTGTGAATCTTGGGACTTCATGTATCTCAACAACATTGAGTTTGACACTAAATTTTCCAAATTCTACTCCTTATTCCTCAATCTATTTGACAAAGCATTTCCGCCTGTTTTACGAAAAATCAGCAACACCCACCTTCCTAAAGGCAAACCCTGGATCACCAAGGAAATCATCAATGAAGGTATACTTCTTCGTGATGTTTTCAATCTGAACAGCCTGCTGGTGAACATCATCACGATATTAAAACAAACTATTTTTTTCTTCATCCTTTAGACGAAACTGAACTTCTTGATATCATCAAGTCTATATCGTCTAAGAACTGTAGTAGTATTGATGAATTACCATGTAGAGTATTGTTGAATGTTGCTGAACTAATCATTGAACCACTTACATACCTACCTAATATCTCTTTCCTTGAGGGTTAATTTCCCTCGTGTCTTAAACATGCTATTGTAGTTCCTGTTCACAATAAAAATGATAAGCACTTAATCTCCAACTACAGAGATATTGCATTGCTGTCTTCATTTTCATAATTTTTCGAAAACTCCTATCTCAACAGACTTGTATCCTTCTGTAAATAAAAAGTATAACCTACTCGCACAGAGCCAATATGGATTACAATCTGGTTTATCCACCCAAGATGCTACTTTCTCTGGTCAATCATGTTTTATCCAAATTTGAAAATGGCGAAAAATCGATCAGTATTCTGTTTGATTTGTCACGTGCATTTGATACCATCAACTTCTCCTCGATAAACTTTATGATACCGGAATTCGCGGCCAAAGTCTAAAATGGATTAAGAGTTATCTGACTGGAAGATCACAATCTGTTAAGGTTAAGCTCAAATCTGGAATATATCATTCTAAAAATCGTAACATATTAACTGGTGTTCCCCAAGGTAGTGTCCTGGGCCCCACTCTCTTTCTCTTACTCGTCAACGATATCTCTAATATTAATCAACAACATTGTACTGTACAGTTTGCTGATGATACGTCCTTCCTATTGAGTTCTTCTTCTTGTGAAGGGTTATTTGACCAGGCTGATATTGCAGTTGCTAACATGCTTGATTACTACGCCAGAAACGGCCTGTTACTAAATAGCAATAAATCTAAGACTGCAGTATATTGGTTAGAGCTAATACTAAATCTATTGCGCAGAAAAAATCAGTCAAATTCTTAGGGTTGAACATTGACTCCCAATTATCCTGGAATGATCATATTGACTCTATTTCTATAAAATTATCCAATCATTGTTTCGTTATTTGGAATCTCAGGGATTGTGTCCCCATAAATATTTTATTAAGCTACTAGTATGCCTATGTTCACTCAAGTCTAAATTATTGCTTAGTTCTGCTACAGTAACAGCAGTAAATTGAATAATCTATTGATTGCTCGAAAAAGGATACTAAGAACCATGTGTTTTAAAAAATATGGTGATTCTTGTAAGCAGTTATTTACTGAGTTACAAATTTTAACTGTGATATCCATGTATATTTTAAATTGTGTCACTTACATTAAGAATCATTACCATAAGTTTCATCAAAGGGATACTATCCGCATAGCTGCTGGTTATACTCTCAGGCAAAATTATAATCTGATAGTTCCTGTATACAAATTAACATCTGTATCAAACGGACCTCATGTTATGTCTATAAAAATATTTAATAAACTTCCAACATTCATTGAGAAAATTTCAAATTCCAATAATTTCAAATATAGCGTTAAAATTATTCGCTACAAAAATGCCTTTTATTCACTTGATGAATATTTTCAAACTGATCTGGCTGCTTGACATCAAGCTTGTTTGCTTGTTTACTATTCTTCTGTTTATACTATGTTTTTTTTAAATTGGTTTATATAGTTATCTCCTATATCTAATATTGATTTAATTTTTTTATGTATGTTCCATATTTTATCACTTGATATTTTTCAACTCCAATCTTTACTGTGTATATAACGATTTCCATGCTTGTGAAACTTTCTCAGGAAAAATAAAGTATTGTATTGTATTATATTGTATACTCGTAATAAGCGCTGTCATGAACAACATTGTCAATAGATGATTATAGTTTTGGGAACGCACTTTTTATCAATTATACATTGAATAGTGACATTATTTGAGTCTATATCAATTGATTTGAATACATGAAATCACTTTTTTTTTGAAAATTTGCTCAAAAGCAAATGCTTGATATGAAACCTCTCGACTTATTGTCTAGGGAAAGAACGATCGAAGAGGAGAGGGTGGAGTGGCCCGCAAGGTCGCCCTATTTAAGTTCGTTAGATTTATGTAGTCACGTCAGGACTGTAATTTATAAAAGTTGATCAAAATATGAAATAACTTCGATTCCCACTGTATTTTTCCACAAGCATGCCATTGTTTGTATCAATACTTTTGAACGTTACCGTAATCCTTCTTCATATTTTGCTAAACGGTCAGATTATTTTAATTTTTTTAGTGATGCTCTTAACACATTTCAATATTATGTTTCAGAATGATAAGGTTCTTAGTCTTGAATAATTTTCACGTCGTTCATCAGTCAAAGTACAACAAACAATCGTTGGAAATGAAAATTGAAATCAGCGCACCGCAAAATCTCCAAGTATAATTAGCAGTAACCTAGAAAGACAAATAGGTCAACACCTTTGACTGCCGGAAGCAGCACTTACCCCCTTCAGTAGTGAAAAGCTTTGTGGTTGTATGAGGGGTTTGTTCAAAGTAGGTTTAATTATATTGCGAATATTAATTTACTCCTGGCTAGAATTCCAGAAGTGGTTATACCTCAATTATTCAAATGCGACCTATTATTCACCGTGTTTCAAACTTTGACAAATATAAAGATCGGACATAGTTCACGTAGAAAAAAAGAATAAGTTGTAGTACATTTTCATAAAAAAGAAAATAGTAATGCATCACTCGTCGCTGCCGTTTTTTTTTTTAGTTGGAAAGGGGGTTTTGTGATAACTTGTTTGTATTTGGGTTTGTCAGTAATAAAAACTAGTAAGTAGGCAAATATTTTCTTCTAGATTTCAAAAATATCCACAAATTATTATAGAGGCATCATACCAGGTGATCTAGCGGGTCAGCCCAACGCCATCGTCCCACAATGGATTTGGAATCTTTGGTGTAGTAATGAATAATTTTTAGAGTTTTTTCCAAACACCAAACAGTTATTTCAACACCTCGACACGTGTTTTGATCACCAAAGAATCATCTTCAAAGGTAAAGATCAAACTGATCTTCCTCTTGTAAAAAATTGAATGTGGAGTGCCCCAAGGCTCAGTGTTATCATTTCTCCATCGGTGAATGGTTTGCCACGTTTTCAGATTACAAGAGCCACACGAAAGCTGGCGCGAGTTGCAGACTCTTGTTCAGTATTCGCTTTGGTAAACAAAGATTGCTGCGATTTGAGTCCGCATTTCAAAGCCTCAAATTTTTCCTTCCGCAATTTTCTTGTATACTTGGAGTAACTTTGAAAATGTTTCGATTCATAGTGTGGTTTAATGTTAAAGTCTTTGAGAACAGCTATGGTTTCATTACAAATTAAACATAGCGCCTTATTACTGGACTCAATCACAAAATACTGAAAGTTCCATTTTTCTTGGAACTTCTGCATTCACTGTCGATTTTTCGCTTCTTTTCCATACTAACAAATCACACGTAAAAACAATAAGTCAAATCAAAATACTTTTATTGACGGGTGTTACTTTATTTCACAATAGACAGTTTCGCTTCCTTCGCCTTTTCTACGCAGACTAACTCGCAGTTGCGCCGCTAGCCTTTTTATATGCAATTATTACTGCCATCTCGAGGTGATCGGAATACACTAGCTAGAACCAGAACTTTCTCGAACCTACGCGGTAATTCCAAATATTTAATTACGCCTAATGCCACCTAGCGGGTAGCTGCGGTACATAGTACCACTACTCGCCACTAGATGTCATTAAGTGTCACATCACACAATAATAATTGAAATGCAAAAAAGCGTAGGTTTGCTTAGTTTACGCATTTTGCGACTATCCTAGTCTAGAAATATAGTTAAGGGCAGAAATAGGCCCTTGGAACAAACTGAAAGAATCATTATGGCCCGAAGGCTTCAAAGTTTAGAGACCCCTGCTCTGGGGTAATAGTGTATTTATTATGCAAAAAAAGGCAATAAGAATTATCTCTGGAGCGGGATACAGAGATTCATGTGAACCCCTCTTCTCATCCTTGAAAGTTATTACTCTACCTAGCATGTATACTCCTTATTGGAAATACACAATAAGAAAAACGATTACGCATTAAATGCTGACTTACTAATTAGACCACGCAAATTTAGACTCCAAAGGGTGTTAAAATAACAATTTGGTGTTAGGGAAAAATTTCAGTAATATTCATATCCTCAAATATTTGGAAGGCTTTAAAATCTTGACCTATCATCGAAATGGCTTTTGAAAACAAAGATCAACAGGCGATCTTCTATCGTTTGTTATTATAATCTAATTTAAACAAAGTTTAAAATACCAATATTCATGATATTCATGATAATTAAACACTGTTCTCTGTTTGAGTAGTTTTCAAATCATTGTGGGTCATCTTATCTTTGGCATTTTCCCATGATCTGTAAAGTTGTGAAATTTACTTTGTATTCCCAGGTTTGGAAAACAAAGACCACCAAAAGACAGCGATAACGAGGAGGAAAACGCCAATCTAATCCAGGAATCAGATAGAGATTCGAGGGAGTCGGAATTCGACCCTTCGTTGTCGAGAGCAGGTAGTCAGGGCTCAATTAGCTCAAACGATGGTCAAATTTCCAGCGCTTTAGCAGAAAGGAATAAAAGAGCTTCAAGGTACGTACAATAAAACTGGTAATTGCATTCTTTTCTTGTCAATACGTGTCACTGTTCCTCCTGAAAAATATTTAAAATACTCTAGTTGCGGTTGAACACTCATTTGTGGCAAAAATTGTGGTACATTTTTGTATAATTTCACATGCTGATCCATTCCATAATATATCCCAGAACCCATAAAACTGAAAACGAAATCTGTTGAAAACACCTTTGCCTCGTCAGAACAAAAATGGTGTTGAAATTGTTCGCTGTCACAGGACGCCTGGCAGATGTGAAACATCAACAATGATATTTCGTGGCCCCTGTGACAATTGTTGGATACTTGAATATTCATTAAAAATATATAATTGAAATATACTTAAAAAAAATTATCGAAGTTCTGGAATGTAGAAAAAGTGTTTTTGTGTCTCGGAAAACTGGTAATAATTGATGTACGAAATCTTTTCAAAATGTCTCAGAACAGTAAAACATTACAAGAGAATCTCAATCTAAAAAGATTGGAAGACCTCATTAATCTTGGGCTTGTTGCGTTTATTCTCCCATCTCCTCACGACACCCATTCCATCAGTCTCGTTCCCTGTACTAGTTTGTACAGGTTCCGTGTTGGATGTTCGTCATATTCTTCTGGACGTAATTTCGTACGTCCATATATTGCCTGCCTCCTGTGATTCAGTGTCTCACATTCGCATAAGATGTGTAGAGCTGTTTCTATCCCTTCGTTGCATAATCTGCAACTGAGGTCTCCGTTGTACAGCCTCGTTTTATTCAGGTGTCCTCTAAGCCGAAAATGACCGGATAGTAACCCTGTATATACCAACCTTCGCCTAAGCATGCAGTCTATCCACCTACAGCTTGTCTTGTCGATCCCTCTTCTCCTCAACACCTGGATGATTGATTCTAACGACGTCCTCAATGTCCAAGAAACCAGCTAAAAATACATTCTTGTTTTTATAAGTATGTTCTACTTTAACTGTTACCCGAAATAGAGCCGTTTCTGTTGACATACCTGACCTGTATGCATATTTTGGTCTCGATGTAATGGTCTGATAGCCAGTGATACGTCCCTGATATGCCTGTCAAGTGGTTTTTCTAGCGTTTTCAATGCGAATGACATGAGACTGAGTGATCTCAAGGGTTACAGATACTACAGATCTTCAATTATAAATATCAATTTGTGATGCACTGTTTGGAAACTTTGGTGTATTAAATTGATATTACTAAAATTTTTTCCCAACAGTAAACCGTTATTTTAACACCTCGACACGTGTTTCGATCACCAAGTGATCAGCTTCAAGAGAAAGATTGAACTCCCTCCTCTTCCTCTTGAAGTTGATCACTTGGTGTTCGAAACACGTGTCGAGGTGTTAAAATAACGATTTGGTGTTGGGAAAAAACTCCAGTAATATTTATAAATATAAATAATGAATGTTTCAATATGAATTTCACCATTAGAAAATTAGTTCCTTAATTAATTTTTTGATGTTCCTGTTAATAACAAAAGAGGAAAACATTCGTGCGCTACTCGCTATCAGCTAATTTTGAAATACAATTTTGTCAGTCTTTATGAAATTTATGAAAAATGAGTAATAAGAATTGAAATTCTCAATGTTTTTTTACAACTTTTCATGAAATTCATTCTTCAAGCAGATGAATTAGTGCATTATTTTCCATAAGAATGAACTTCAATAATCAATAATTTAAAAATATTATATGCTATGGAAATTGTGTGAATTTTAGTCAACAGAGAGAGTAGATTTTACATTCAATGAGACAGATCAAATATACGCAGAATTAATGCGCAGATAAACGCATACTTTAATTATAAAATATAGAATTAATTAGCTTACTGATGACTTGATAAGGTATCATAGTGTGATTTTGCTTTCTTTGCAGGATGCTACTTACTTTCACTTTCTAAATTATCACTGTTAGAGATATTCAGTCATTTATAAAAATTAATTATTTAGTAAAACACAGGTAATCTATACTGTAATAAACACAACTATAAGTATCCAAGCTCAGTGTGGCAAGAGACAGCGTAATGCCGAACCAGTGAGAAGAGAATCGCACAGTCGCTTACGCATGGCGACCCGTCGCCACGACATGCGTCGCCACGCCAGCAATCTGTTTTACGTGCGGCTATAGATGTTATACATGAGGGAATCCAAAGAAAGGAAGAACGCAATTAATTTTTAAACGAACTCTATACAAAGATCATGAATTACACGAAAGAAAAAATATATTTCAACATATCCAGAGTACCTCGGGGTATAGGAGACTATAGTTCATCATCGAAAACAAGGACACATTCTGAGAAACAGTATTTAGGTTGAAAGGTTGAAGTTTCAAATTCATTTTTCCGTCATTATATTTCCGCATGTTAACAATGTGTGTAAAAATTCACCACAAAGCGTGATTAATGGAGGTAATGTGTGGGAATTGTGTGAATCGATCGAATAATTTCGTAATACATTCACCACGAGTTGGTTGACATTTAAAATGCTTTAACTAGGAATTTGATCGATACGAACATGGGGAGTGTATATGTAAAATATCACTCTTTTATAGTTTATAATACAAATGAAATGTGTAGTTTCCTGGAAGAGAATGATGTGAATAATACATCTTTCTCGAATATACTTTTACGGGCCCGCAAAAAAAAAGCAATGTTGATAAGTATACTGTGATCCTTGTTATCTCATATGAGCCTTTATCGCACAAAAATAATATGAACAACTGCGCATTTCTTAGGATGCTATCAGGTACATAACTCATGAAAAAAGTATATCATTATACTTTCGATTTATACCCAGATACTAACTTATTTACACATTTTCTTGAATCTTTGGTGTGTTACATACCAGGGTAATCTGAAAAGTTTCTGAATTAATCGGGGCCAAAAATTAATCGGGTCCAGATCCCAAAACCTACATTATATTGAAAGCTTTGTTATGTTCATGGATTTTACAGGTATATGAAACGCAAGTACCAGATATCAGGTATATCAGATATATCAGGTATATCAAATCATTTATGCTAGAATAATATAGGTATAAATTACTCGGATTTAAATGTAATCAGTTAGTTTTGAAAATGGTATAATAGCCGAAACCGGTCAACAATAAAGAAATATAGTGGAAAATAGACAAAAGTGTGTTTTTGTAGTGTATCCTCAGTGAACATGAATTTCCACAAAATAAACAAGTCGTCAATCGAAGAAGCTTTCATATGCCTAAATGTTGATTCAATATGTGACAAACACGTACTATTGACACGTTCATAACCTTTGCTATCTCTATCACTTCAATTCGGCGGTCTAGCACCATTTGATGAACGATGTTTTCTTCGATAGTTGCAGTTTTTGGACGTCCCAATTGTGCATCATCTGCCAAGATTTTACGGCTACGTTGAAATTCAGATCTATCCAAAATTTTACTGTATTCCCATACACAGAATCTAAGACATCTTTGATTTGCGTAGGCGTATTGCCTTTCACCAAACAAATACCCAATGACAGCTCGATGCTCGATTTTGTCTATTTTCATTAAAATTTTCATAACAACTCACTCAAATTACTGTTACATAACAACTGCGCATTCAAAATGGCTGAAACTTTGGTGAGTAACTGTCAACAGATGAACAACGAAATTAACTGACTTTTATTTGTGCTGCTTTCATCACATTGAAGTCGGAAACTTCTTCATTTTTTACACTTTCTGTTATAGCAGTTATTGCAACAGCTTCTCTAGTTCTCCTTCATAAATACTCATCTTTCCTCTTTCTCTTCTTTGCATTATTTTTTTTATTAACAACTAAATAACTTCTAGATTTCCATTATATCTTTGCTGGCCATTATCGTTTTTTATTCTGCTTAAACTTTTTTTTTGTACAGTAACACCTCTAGCTAACAGTATTTGCAAGGAAATATTTCTGTCAAAACATCTAGAATTTATATCATTGTGTGTAAAACTCAATCGATAACATAAAATAATATGGTTCATTTTGCACTCGAACTGTAATAAAAGTGTACACCATTTTTTTGTGTTCGAACTGAGGTAGTCATCTACCATCATAGTTTGTCTAAACTTGTGAATAGCGCACACAATCATCTCTCTTGATATGGATAATTTGACTTCTGGCCTCATTCAAAAGGCCAACAGAAGGCTAACAACTAGACTGAACAAAATTTGTGAGATTCAACTTTTCTGCAACCTCTAGTAACAAAACCAAATCGAAAACGAATCCTTGATTTCAACATCAAGACGCTGCTTTCGTTATTAAAATTAATTGATGTTTCATACTTGTTTGTGCTTTTATTCAAAGTGTGATTAATACCATTTGAAAATCTCACAGAGTTAATTACTTCTTCAGGACGGCGCGGCGTCAAAGTAACCTCCCTCGTTCTGCCACGAACTTGTCTGAAACACTTCATTCGTTATGTTCCTTTCATCAGTCAAAGCAAAATAAGGAAAAGACGGATAGTCCAACTGAGAATAACTTGATAGAGCTTCAGTCTGTGCGGCAATAACGAATTTAATCTAAAAATTATCTGGATTACCCGTCGACAACATAAAGTCACCAGAATAATCTCAGGCAATGGTACTCAAGACGACGTTCGAAAGACATTGGCGGAACTAGAAGGGTCTAGGGTGGGCTTAGCCAACCCAACTTTGAACAACCCTGGTACAGGGCCAACTTTTATATGACTTAATCCCTTCCATCCAAACAAAGAAGTGATATAACTGGAGAGTGTGTGAATTGAAGACTTATATTTGTCAGCATACTCAGAAGAAGATAAACGAGGAAGACCGCATAATTTCTATTTGTTTCAGGGTGAAAGCCGATCTGAAGTCCACAGTCCAATCTGCACTCAAAGCGCAGGATTTCCAGGTTTGCCTCACAATTATCGAAGCAAGACAACTAACTGGGCTGAATATGGATCCTGTAGTTTGCATACAAGTCGGAGACCAGAAGAAATATACAAGCGTCAAAGAAAGTACCAACTGTCCATATTACAATGAGGTAATTTTCACCCTGAATCCATCCAAAAACTAAAAACAGGCTCTTTTGTAGAATCTTTGTGGTATACTGAATTCAATTTCTTTTTTGGTAGAGAGCAGAATTAACGTTTTGCTTTGCGAATAATGGGATAAAGCAGTTTTGAAACTTTCACGTTTTAACTGGCAGAGAGAAATGAATCGCCTAGTATCTTTAACATTTTTTTTTTGTGAAGATGAATACCTTAATATTGAATTTCGAAAGATTTAGGCAAACAAATAAAATGTATTTACGTGGATTGGTGAAAAATTCAGATTTTCTGATTTTTCTTAAAAAAAAGAAAGTGTTTCCATAGATGACGTCATAGTTCCGTCATATCTAAATGGGAGAAAATATGTGATGTCTTTCTATCTGTTCTTCTGCTGAATTATATTTGAGGTTGATTCATGAGAACATTGAACATAATACTTATTTGGAGTTATACATACATTTTGTGAATTGAATATAAATTATGTTAATCATTCTCCTAATAACTGTCTTATTGTTCGAAGGAACTAATTAATTACCCTCTGAAATCGACAGGTAATATTCAGAGTGAAATAATGACTATACGAAAGTGAAGTCGGGAAATATCAAATTGAGTAGAAAGGGAAGAACGGTGATGGAATGGGTAATGTTTCGGTTTTAATTTACTGGATTACTTCCCTAACAGCCTAAGTTTGCTGATATATAAAAGAAGCGAAGTCACGGAAACCCGAAAAGACGTGTAATGAAAAAAGACCAACGCCACAGTTATTTATGTCACGGGCTAATAATGGGGGTGATACCAAAGAAAAATTAATGATGGCTGATATTACGACATGGAAACTGTCCTTTGGAATCAATTATTACTTTCAATTAATGAGTTTTACGTTTTTGTGAAAGTATCTAGCTTCAAATGAATTACACCGTGTTGAAAAGGACGATCAAAAAGCATCAGTGGTATACAGGATGATCCAAAGTCGGACTCATGAAGAGCAAAAATATTAAAAGCTTTTGATAAAAATTTCTTATGGATATCCCTTTCTCTATCTCAAATACTCAGTTGAAACAAACAGTTATCACATTCCAGATATATTTGACAGGCAGAGAGCAGCTTGAAATCGTGATGAAGGTGAAAGTTTCAATAATTGTTTTTTTTTTGAAAATATTGAAGAATAGGGTTAACAATTCTTGATTTAGCAATTTTTTCATGTAATAGATAAGAACCTGGTCATGTACTATCAATCGAAAGAAGCACTGAAACGGGTGTCCCGCAGGGTGGCGTATTAGGCCCCTTACAGAATATCACACAGTTTTTGAACATAAATAAGGTCAAACTTAATGCCAACAAAAAAGAAAGCCATAATATGAACAACTCAATTCAAAGATAATTCAATTGAAGAAAATACAATTGATAATTATATGAATGGTAAATCTATTGCAAATCGTCATCGTACATTTCAATCTAACCCAACAGTATATCGCTCCATAATATAACAGCATTAATAGATGGTAAATACATATCAGTGCAAAAAGATTCGCCAACATTATTAAAATGCAAGAAAAACACTCTAATCGAAACAATGGTTGACTGAGACGTACAGATTGTTCTATTTTTCAATGATTCCCATGTTAATGAACTCATATCATAGATCAACTAAACTTGTTATATTCAATTAAGTATATATACCTTCTTTATTTTTGTATACTAGGATGTCTATTTGAATAAAGGTTCATTATTATTATTACTATTATTATTACATATGGTAAAAACTGAAAAAAAATACATCTGTAACTACTTTCAAATATGAACATTGTATTACATAGAAACCACTTTTTCTCATCAATTTTGTACTCTGAACATTCGTGAAGTAATTGAAACATATACCCACGTGATGAATGAAAAAGAATTGAAAAAAAATTTCACTCACGTGGAAAACTTTCAGGTTCCAGGTGTTCTTATAGAACTTTCGGTTGAAAACACTGGTCCTGAACGTTAAAACTTATCTTGGAAAAACGATTCAATCAATACTTGTGAATACTTTTTGAATCCATGTCACTGAAAGAAACCCAGTTGCTCTGTCACAATGACAGTTCATAAAATAACTGCCATGCATCTAGTTACTTCAATCCCAGCTATAGGATTTTTTTTCAATTGAGAATTTTTCAGGAGAAATTAGTTTCTGGGGGAAAATATATGTGTGCAAGATGTATACATCCTTGTGAAGGGTTTTTATTGATGTATTAAATTATTTCTGCCTTTCTTCGTAAGTTTCACAACGTTTTTGTATATTGATGGGAAAGTAGACAGTTTTTTGGCAAAAACTAATCTCTTCCGAAAATGTTTCTAGAGTTTGAACACCTCTGTGAATTTTTCTATTTGTTTTAATACATCTGAACCCAAAGAACAACAGTCGAATTTTTTACATAGTACCTGAACAAAAATAACATCGACATCATAGTTTGCCTGCCTTTTAGTATCTAGTGGAATATATTTATATTCACTATTGGTGTTTCATTTGCATTTAATAACAAAATTTACATCTGCTTTGGGTATTTTCAGAAGAAAGAAGGATATTTCATGAGATCCAATTTTATATTCATAATGCATACTAAGGAGAGCGATCTGAAAATTGTTTTTTCTTTTCAGTATTTTGTATTCGACTTCCATATGCCTCCAATAATGCTGTTCGATAAAATCATCCATCTATCGGTAAGTTCGACAACTTTATCTTTATATCATTCTCAACTGAATTCTCTGTGAGATGAAGAGACAAATTTTGCAAAAATTCCTTGTTAGACACTGAACTTGTGTCAAATAAATGTGAAACATTCGAAAAACGATTGCTACGAAGTAATGGAATTAATTTTGTATTTCCGATGATTCCCTACAACATTGAGTACAGATAGTTTTTCGTTCCAGAATCGAATTCAGTTCGGACTTCCATTGTATAATATAATATAAATTGATTTGAAATCCCTGAAAAAATAAAATGGTTAACCGAAAAATGACAATTTTCATTTTTGTTAATAATATTTTTAATTTTCAGCTTTTACTAATATTTCAATTTTTTATTTTCAGCTTGTAGTTTGTATGTTATTTCCTTGTAATTTAAGTTTTTTGTTTTAATAAAATTGTCATTTTTCGGTTAATCTATTATTTTCTATTTTTTCATGAATTTTAAATCAATTTATATTATATTAGACAATAGAAGTCCGAACTGATGAAATAGAATCGAATTTATCGGGAAGTACAATTATAAAAAAATAGTACACATGGAAATGGTTGAATCATCAATTAGAAAGCAAAAGGAAAATGAATTTTTGCAAAATTGTACACTCGTAATGAATATATCCAAAACGAAAGATGTTTGTCGTGTCAAAAGTAAATATGTATAAACATTTTGAATGGGTAAACATTAGTCAATTTATTCCATATTGGATTGAAAACGATTGTTAGTCACGCACTATATAATATCAATTTTTTTCATCACTGAACGGGATTCAATATTTTTACCATTATTAAAATTGCCAATATATTGAAAATTGCTCGAGTGGGTCAAATGTAAAACAACTGTCTGCGTATATATTTACCTTGATCGATTGAAATGTAAAAAATGGTGACTGACAATCGAAATAATTAAACAGTTAGATATTTTTGTGTAGAGAAAGTGTGTTTTAGGTATTACATTCTAGGAAACTATTAAGATCAGGAACACTGGTTGGCAATTTCAAGATAGACGTCAAGACCGTCTATGATGCACCTGGTAGAGCACCGATATTTTTTTGGCGAATTGTTTTTTACAACTAACGCCCGATTTTTTATTTACTGACTGTTCACAATTATTTCTACAGTCGGTTACTTGTTTTTGACATGATTTGGTAGTGATTCTATTCGTTAATTATTAACAGACTATGAACAAATGATTTATGTACAAGTTTTGAGTAAACGGATTTCGTTTATTGATGTGAACGAGTATTATCTTGTATATTTTTGTATACAGTTCTGCATCCATTATATGTTTAAATCGTTTTGTGTATATACATAATGATACTATTCTCCTTCGCGACTATCATGATCATTTCAAATACTGTGACAAATAGAAACACTACCAAAATAAACTTCGTTTTGTCCACAAAAAATTTTCCTTTCATCCTGCACAATTTTTTTCTGCATTGTGACCAAGCCTCTATACTATTTCTGTACTGATTGATTGCCATTCTTTCTTGTTTTTTCTTCTTGCTGACAGGTGTTGCAGTCTCGAAGCATTCTCAGGGGTAACAAATTATTGGGAAGCTTTAAATTAGACATCGCGACTGTTTGGTCGCAACCAGGTAGGGGTAGTGACCCTCTCGCACAGAAGTGTTGCCAGATAACTCGGAAGTTTCCACTGCGAGATTCATCAGACCATTCAAAATTGAGTAGTAGTAGTTTGAAATTAATATATGTCAACTTAGTTTAACAAAGAAATTTCCGTGACTTTTTTCAAATACTCGTTTATTTACATACTTTGTTGTATATATTTGTGTATATGTTACGGGCAACGTGATTAACTGGGCATTATTGATAAGGACCGGTCATTATTAATAATGCCCAAGAGCGATGGGCAAAGTGATTAATTAATTACTTTGACCGGCCATTATCAATAATGCCCGACGGCCCGTGGTCCATGTAATAAGTCAGTGTTTGAGATAGCTTGAATTCATCACTTGGACCGGGCAGTATGAATAATTCTCTACTAGTAGCCGGGAAATGTGATGAATTGGTACACGGCAAACCTCGTCATAGCCAATCTCAAGGTAGGTTTAAAATCAGTCTTGCCATCATTTGACGGGTTATCGGAGATAGTACCTAAGTGAAGATGACCTTGAGGCAATGTTAAAATATTGAAGGTCAAAACGTAATTGTGGACAGAGCGGATGATGCCGTAAACGAAAACATCGATAACATAGACAAAAACTCAGCCGCTCTTACTGATGGTATTACATTTTTAACTATTTATTTTTCAACTACTTTGTCCAATAGTTTGTTTTTTGTTAACTTTTAATGAAAATTTTGTAACTTTTTTTTTCATTTGATAAACAAAAACACTACAGTTTACCTATTTTATTACTTTGCCCAAGATAGGGTGGGCATTATTCATAATGGCCGGAAAAAGTGATTGATCATGCTGTTTTAATCACATTGCCCATTTGAGTCGGACATTATGAATAATGTGTTCGAAAACTATACCAAGTGTACCTGAAATAGCTTAATGACAAACACCATACAGAATAAGTAAAAAAATATAAAGTTCGTTCAAGAGTAAAGTACCCTTATTTAAAAAATATAGAAATATGTTGGAGAAAAAAGTTCCTTAGAATTAAAATTTATGTTCAGATACGAAGAAGTCATGGCGTGCTATTCGATTTTTTTTCTTTTGGAAAATTTTGAATTACCCCCGTATGATACATATTTTTACTATTTTGATTTAATATGTATTTGAAGTAGCCACAATCAAATCAGTTTGGAGTATATTTTTTATCAAATTGAAGTGTATTTGTAAAATTTACTTGAATTTGCGGAATCAACTTCCTGAGAACATGTTTTTTCTGTAGTGCTTGTGTTTTGTCCTTGAAAAAATGATTCCTTCAGAGTTAAATTTGTTGATGAGTCAATGTATACTAAAAAAAAATGGACCAAGAAAAGTTCCTTGCATTCTCTTTGTTTCCATTCCAAACTTGTGAATTAGTCAACAGTAATCTGAGAAGTCGGTAGCTTTCAAACTGATGAATAAAAAATAAGCACGCTCTCTCTGTAAGCATTTCTCCATAATGAATTCAGGAAACATCGAGTATCTGGCAACACTGCGATCGGTGTTCCTTGTCTGGCACGGAAGCACTGAATTCAGGTAATTTGTATACGCAGCAATTAGCAGCAAACATGTTCTAATTATTTCAGCTATGATAGCCCCGGTGAATACCTAACAGAATTCGAGTTAATAAGGGAGGGAAAGTTGACGAATGACGAAACATTTGATACTTCAGTTGCGTTGGTAGAATAATGAACGAGGAATCAGAAGTTTCATGCAATTAATATTCTGATACTCAACATTGATGATTTGAAGACACTCAATGAAACTTTATTGAATTATTTACTACGATTTGATGAAAAGGTTTCACAAAAGCAGTTTACATACTCGCTGACGAGTTTTTTATTACAATAGCTTACAATACCAGGCTGTAACAATAAATTGGTGTTGATAAACAGTACCTAAGCCTAAGTATGTGTGTATCCGAAATAATTACATGATAAAATAATTTAATAAGTTATTCTAAACATTTACGGTACAATTGAGAACCTTGTTCTCCTATTCTCCTCCTTTACCGGTGTCGCGATGTAAAAAGCCACAAAACATGAGTTCTGGGATAACCATATCCTTTCTTGATAGCGACCACTAGAAAATATGCTTCATCTCGAGTCATGCAGCATTTGTGATGAAATTTCTTTCAACCTTTGCCAGTTGGAGGAAGATTGAAACTTTAAACAGTCATCCTCAATCCATTTTGATTAAAAGGCTCTTCAAACTATTAGGTGATTATTGCCTAAATATTTATATAGAATGAACGACGAGACTTTATTTTGAACTTATGAAATGATGTATTATATTAAATGAAATTTTCATTATATTTCAACCCAAAAATATTAATGATTAGGTTATTATTCCATAGCTACGCACCATAGCATTAAACGATGACTACTTGTGCTTGTGTGATCTTGATATTGGAGAGGCACATTCGACCAAGGGTGCCTATGATCAGGACAACTACTTCAACAGAAAGGTCCGGGTACAACCTGGTATTTCGTAAAGCTGCGTTAAACTGTGAAACTGGCCACAGTAGCCTATAAACTGTCTTACATTTGTCTATCGGAAGTTTCATATAGGTTGGGAGTACCATTCTGAACTTTCATCATGAATGGCCTTATGTCTCCGACATCTGAATGACCAAAACTTTTCCTGCACTAACAAAATCTGTTTTGTTGGGGCAGAGTGGCATCAACTAGCCAAAACGTCTTGGTATTTTTGTTGTTGCATTTATCTTAGAGACCCAGACCGTAGAGAAGGTCAGCACAAATATCTGTTTTTGGGATTTAAACAACCCGTAACTTACTGTTTTCTCTCCAGCTACGAATGTAAAATTCCTAGCTGCAGTTATCTAAGTTTTTTGAACCAATAGGTATTCAGTTCATCTCGGACTGGAGCAACAAGGTTCTTTGATTCTGATAAAGCCCTCCGAACTTCTTCCGAAGTTATGGTGGAGAAAAGAAAGCTTTAATCTCCTAGTTTGCTTCACTAATTATTTCCAGCAACCACTAATATTATCTTCCTCTTTTCATAGTTAACTTTCTTTTCAAAAACCAACGATTTTGCATTGGTGAAGTATTTGGTTTCAATTCGAAACTTCAGGTCACTCTGCCTTAAATAAAACATGATATCGTATCCATTGGTAAATAATAATAATCTTTATTGATCCCAAGAAACAAGAATGTTTATAACAGGGATAAAATTTAAAATAATGATTAAATAAATTAATTCAATATTGAATATCAGTTACATATACAGCACATAAATACAAACACAAATATACATATATACATACATATTTACGTATAAACACATATACATATATAAATATATACATTTTTGAATCATAATGGTAATTAAAAACAAAAAAATGTAATATGGAGATCAGAATTTAAATTAGAGGAAGAAAGCAGAGACTTCTTCAATTCCGAATTTTGTTTTTCAATTAATTTTTAATTTCTATGGAGATTATTATATATTTCAACTCCTAAACGAAATATTGATTTCTCCCCAAATTTTGAGCGGTATGATTCAACTAGTACTTTTTTTGTTTGTCTTGTATTATAGTCATGGATGGTATTTATTTGATTGAATTTCAAATTCGAATGTTTATGATTTTTTATAACAGAATGAATGAAACAACAAATTTTCAATTGAAAAATAGACTGAATATCCAAAATGATAACGTGGTATATATAAATTTGACGTAGGTTCAAGATATGGAAATTTGAATATACATTTTATCATTTTATTTTGCAGTCTCTTGAGAGGATTTATTAAAAGTCAATAGGTTACGATAAATACATAAATTGCATTACTGCCAGTTTTTTTTGCAGTACTAAAACAGAGTACCGAAGGGTTGAAGCCCAAGTCTTTAGATATTATTGTTGTAAATCATGCCCTAAAGAAAATAACGCCGGCCGCCACTGGTAACCATAAACCAATTGTGACGAGGCAAAGAGCGCGCTCAGTTCGACCGACATTTCGCGGCTATTCTTCCAAATTTGATGGAATTCCGGCGAATTTTCTACCGCCTTCGATTACGATATATAAACGCTAGCAACAAGCATATCGGTACAGTCCAGTGAAAGTTACAGTGCAGTACTCGAAGCGATCTAGCGAGGAGATAAGCATTCAAATAATAGATAGTTGAAGTGTATGTTGTGTTTAAAGTGAAATAAAGTTAAGTTTGATTATTGTTCAGTGTAGTCTATTATTGGTCAATCCATGGGGAAAAACGTAACATTATTCTCACTCACTAAGTTGAAATTTTCATTAAAATTCAACTGATTACCAATGAAAATACCCAGACACTTTATTTTCTAAAGTGCCATTATTTGTGGGAAGTTTGAATTACATTATTTATTTTTGAAACATTAAGTATACTCAATCAATAATACATCAATTTTTTACTTGTCTTAGTAAGGTAGAACAAAACAAAATAGGACCCAAAACTCAACCCTATGACACTCCAGTTCTGAATGCTGTTTCTTATGTAGAGTTCCGAAGTTTTCAACATTTGATTATACTGCGAAATGTGAGAAACTCATCATTTACAACTGATTCCTCTGCACTCGAGTAATATCTCAAGGTTAACACAAAGGCGTTTGAAACGCCTTGCGAATATTGTGACAGCCACTTCACTAACATTCATATTGCATGAATTTGTTGTTCATTATCAAAAATATTTTGGGGTTTTTTGTAAAAGTAGTGTTTTATATAACTCAGTAAAATTTCCCCTTTATTCAGAAATTTTAGTGTGAAAAAAAACGTTTTGGAAACGATAATATAATGAATTCAAATTTCTTGAAAGTTCAATAACAAATTTTCACATACTTCAAGCAAATAGATCATTTGCTTGAAGTATCAATAGTGATCAATAGTGAATTGTATAAATGAACATAATTTGGTTGATTTGTTTATCATCAAAATGAGTAAGCAATATATTTGTTAAATCACTGGAGTTTTTTCCCAACACCAAATCGTTATTTTTAACACCTCGGAACGTGTTTCGATCACCAAGTGATCACCAAACGTTCCAAAGGTTCCAAATAATGCATCATAAATATATTTATTCATTGAAGTCTCTAAAGTTTAAGACGTGTGTATATTGAGCTTTTCCAATAGCAGCAGGGCCAGAATATTAATCAATTTATAACTTGATTAAAGGAGTAATCAATCACTATCTAGGCTTTTTACCTGAAAATTAGACCATACACTGACCTTAGTTCAGCTCTGAGAATTCCATGCCCAATAATAAAGTGCAACTTCTCTAAGTTACTTGTAGGTCTGGATTCAAGCCATGACTGATAGCTATTGGCAGTGTATTCCTCGTCCTGCAGTTTCCTTCTAACGTCTTCGCCGAGTTTATTTTTCCTTTTCAGCGTCAGAGACACCAATTTGTTTCTGATCGACCTAGGTTTCTGCTGCTTTAGGAACGAATCTGGGTCTAGCCCCATCAGCTGTGCCTCTTGAAATTCTTTACTACGGATGAAGTTACGCCCCAAAGTAGCAGTTACCTTCGACATGACTGAGGTGTTGTCTCTGTCCATCGTGTGGTATCTAGGTTCGGGTAAATCTCCGGTGAAGCGTAGTATCGTTATCCATAGAGCCTGNATTTGAAGGTTAACAAGTTAGTTTTGGAGATGTTGAGTACAAGGAGATTATTGTCAAACCACGTTCTTATTGTTTCGAGATCACGTTGTATGACATTGTGTAAAGATGTTTCATCACTACTGTGCCAAAGTATAGTGGTATCATCTGCAAATAACGTGAACCTCCCAGATATATTCAAATGGGAGATATCGTTGACATATAACAAAAATAAAATAGGTCCCAGTACCGAACCCTGAGGCACACCACATCTACTAGCTCCAATACGTGAATAATGGTCAGTTTTTACCAACTGGCTACGATTCTCCAGGTAAGATCTAAACCACTGCAGGCTATTTGCTATCAATTTAGACGTTGCTCGGTAGGAGCCAAGAGCTTCCAACGCCGCTTGACTGTCCGAGAATATTTTTATTGACTTGTCTATGAGGTTGGATTTATCCAATCTCTCCGTACACAATTCAATGGAGCAAATTTCCGCTTGAAATACAGTCGCATAAGTTCCTAGGCAGGTAGATATCTCTGTCTTGGATCTGCCACTGAAAATACCTGCACCAGAACCGGAAGGTGTTTTTGATCCATCTGTGAACCAACAACTATCTGCTCTTAATATTTCCTTCTCCCGGAGGATCCAGCCCTTTCTACTCGGGAACAGTACTTTATAAGGCAATTCGTAGTTGACAGTTGGAGACATAAAGTCAGAAGTCATTTCCAGAATGCTCTGACTTCCAGTGTCAACCAACAGTCTGTTGCACTCTGCATTAATTTGATTTGTGCAATTGGCAATGTGCACAAGTCTGTATACAGTCCATCTAGCCTCTCTCTCCAGAAGAATGTGGAGAGGAGGTAGGTCTAGAAGGATCTCCATGGCTGCTGACGGTGTGGTAGTGATGGCACCACTGATAGCCAAGCTTTGCTTGGGCTCTCTGGCTTACAGAGAATGTATTTGGCTCTAGTTTTATATTAGTGGGCGTGGCTTGGTTTCTCTTAATAGGAATTTTTTGGTTTGTCCGAGTCGACAATTTCTCTTGTGTTCAGGGAGACTGGTAAGTTCACTTCCTTTCGTGATTCCAATGTAGATCAACCTGCAGCTACAAGAAATCAGGTACGCCGCGGGTATTGCTGTGGAGTCCTTAGCTGACCTCAGACTTTGTCTTATAGTTTTTGTTGGCCTGAATATTGATTTCACGTCGTGATTTTCTGAGATTCCCCCAATCCAGCCCGTAATATTTTTAACATAGGAAAGGAAAGCTTTTCTCTTGATCAACTTTGTAGTGTTAGGTGATTTCAATATAACACACTTCATTCACAATTCCAATAATGATACAAAAACATCACTGGCAAATAATTTTTCTAACTTTTTTGACTTGAAACAGCTCAATAATATACTCAACTCCTCTAACCGTGTACTAGATCTTGTGTTTGCTAATGTAAAATGTGTTATATACACAGATTTCTCAAAGGCCTTTGACAAAATTGATCATAGCATATTACATTCGAAACTGGACCTTATTGGCCTTAGTAATAAGCTACTAGGCTTTTTTGAATCGTACCTTTTTAACCGTAACCAAATGGTTTGTGACAACGGATACAAATCAAACACAATAATTGCCAAGTCTGGCGTACCCCAAGGATCGAATTTGGGACCGCTGTTGTTTTTGATATTTATCAATGATTTAAGCACACAAATAAATTTTATGAAACTTTTTTTTGCTGATGATCTGAAAATACTGAATTCTATCCAAAATGTGAATGATTCCATAACACTTCAGGAAGATATAGATAATGTGCAGGCTTGGTGTGAAATTAATAACATACATCTGAATATAGGTAAATGTGAAGTCATGTCATATTCTAGAAAACATAGACATATTGAACATCCATACAATATTCAAGGTAGTTTGCTAACCCGTTGTGTGGAGACTAAGGATTTAGGTGTATTTTTTGACTTTAAAATGGCATTTGCCAATCACATAAACAAAAAAGTTTCCGAAGCCAATAAAATGTTAGGATTTATCACACGAAATTGTCAAAAATGACGATTTTCCAAAAGAAAAACCTACCTTCGACTGTGGATGAATAAGGCTGACTCCATGCTTATTAATGGCAATCAACAACATTTCTGGGTAATTTGGATCCGTGGTTTGTTTGACTTCAAAGAAAGCCGAGCCAAACGTTGGCCAGCGGTACACGACCTTCAAAAACGTAATTTTCGCATCTTCTGGTGTCATTCCTGCGTCTTGGTTATATGCCGCTACAATCGATCTTTTCCAATCATTCGCGTTCTGAACTTTTACCAGGTCTGCTGGAATGAGCTCCCTCAACATTTGTCTAAAACAAAAACACAAGAATAAGAGATTTATTTGAAACATTTCTCAAATATTCTTCCAATTCAATAAGTTTATTAAATATAATTGAACATTGAGATTATGCCAGACACAAGTTTTGCTGATCTTAATATATAAAAGTGCTCTATTTTGACACTCACTTCATAAAATTCAATAACACACAATGTTTTGTTTCTGAAGACTTATATCCATTAATATAATTGAAAACCAATGAATATACATTACTATTAGAATCATTATTATTTTTCTTCTTAAGAATTTGCTCCTGATTATCTTATTCGGTCTATAGAACAATTATTGATTCATACTTCGATTACAATGCCAGTTTATTACTAGAACTCAACAGCATCGAAGCTGTACAAGAGTTGAAAACCGAGCAATGAATATAATTCTGAAGTGTAAAAAATAACAACAATCAACACCAATACTAATCTTCATGTAACTAATATAGGAATGTAGGCTTTCACGGCTGGCATCAATGTTTTGGTTGGTTTTCGGGTTTTGCCTTGGTCTTCTCTGGCTACACTCTGCAAACGTTTCAACTGCAACTGCGGCAGTTATCTTCAGTGGGATGGAAGTACTCTTCTTGACATATCAACTGAAAGATGATACGTCAAGAAACGGAGATTGTAACCAAAGAAGACCACAGAAAAATCCTGAAACCAACCAAAACTTCATGTAACTGGTACCAACAATAGAAAACAAGGGATTCCTTGTTTCATAAAGGTCTAGTCGAATATAATGAAACACCTCCAAATATTAAGCAACGTGCAGTTTTGCTTTTATGATAATAATTATAAAATTTTCATAATTAGTTTCATATAAAATGCGCTTTGTTACATGGTAGCTTCATCACCTACTGGTACATTAAATTATTCTATTTTATATAACATTATTTATAACAAGACAGTTTAACGTTATATAAAAGACATAACATTATATAAAGGACATTCTATATTAGTTTGTTGTACCAGTACCTGATCAAGCTATCATGTAGCAAAATGCATTTCTAATAAAATGTATTGTGAAAATTCTTAATTATTATCATGGATAGTGTTATTAATTTTCATCAAGTTACGGGTCGAGTATTCATAATCTGTTTTTTAAGATTCCATATATATGTTGAAAGTGAGTATTATCATTTTTAGGAAACAAAGATTTTGGGTTTCTACAAGTCCTTCTGACACCCAGTACATAACTAGGGGGAATGGAATGATCTAATTCAGCTTTCCTTGTTATCCTTGTTATCCTAATTATCTACCAGTTCACTCATATACTTCGTGAATCAAGATTGGTAAATCAATGTTATTATTATATGTATTGGTTTTGATAGATCAAATAATTTTATGTTCATCTTGAATGAATGGGTTTCGAGGTTTGAGTATAACCATAGATGCACCTTTATAGATTTTGCAAAATAGAAAAAAAAATCAGACCAATCAAAATTTATTCAGCTTAGAACAAAAACTTACGGAATGGCCTGTAACTCCTGCTTACTCTCGCCAAACCGGACCCTGTATACCAGAGCTGCCAGCTTAGCAGCTTCTTCTTTGCTGCATTTGTGGTACCCTCTTATTAGTTTTGGTAACTCCTGGTGGAAGTGGAAGATAAGATCTGCGTTTCTATCTTTTCCAGGAACAGTATTCGTCCACAGCTTCTTCATAAAGAAAACTTGATAAGAGAATTGAGGAGTTATGCCATCTCTTGTTGGTCGTGCTTTACGAATCCAGTCTGTTAGGTGTCTGACGAAGTCGAAGAAAAAATCCCCCTCAGGTACTGAAATAACCTTAAGGAACAAGTTAATATGACGTGGTTAACAAGTTATTTTATTATGTACAAACATTTATTTGAGACATGAAAACTAGCGGGAAAATATAATGACGTAAACATTAATAATTCATTTATTCAATTACATAATGACACACTTAATCTTCGATAACAGACAATGATACAACACTGATTAATGGTTTTCACAACAATTTTTAATACCTATCCAGATTCGATAGGTAGTCGTATAATCGATAATTTTTTTGGAAAAAAAATTAGTGTTTTCATAAATCCTCGACTTTTCAGAAAGGTGAAGACTCAAAGTTTGTAATTCTTTTATATGAGCTGAAATTATCAATGTAATAAGTAACCCGAATTATTGAAAAATTAAACATGAAAGTAACTTTCTACCGTCCCCACCCATTTACAGTAACTTAATTTATTTTATTTTCTGTAAAATATTTCAGTTATTTTTTAATGGTTTTTGGATAATTTCACATGGTATTATAATCTACAGTTCAAACTGTCAATTAACTACAATCAAGTGTTTAAACTGTCGAGGAATTGTATTTCGAGTAAATGTCATCTAATTATTCATTTGTTTTTCATGCAGTCGAAATCTGTTCAGATTTCTTGTTCGTTTCGGAGATTGAGAAAATTTCATGACTTGCTTGATCTATTATTTTTTTAATATATGTTTCATATTCGAAAATATTTTCATATAAATGGAATACAATAATTCAACTGAATTATAATAATCATTTATATAAAAAATAAAACCTAATGGGATTTCCAGCAAAATCCTGTTTTAAAAATACCAATAACTAAATGAATAACGCTTTATATAAAATTTGTATGCCTCAAATAAAGATACGACTACTATACTAAATCGTTCATATTTTACCTTATCCGCAATTTTAACAAATAAACTGAATCCTTCGCTAGATCTCAAATTCAACCTCTGACTGATATTCTGACAGAAATCTTTTGCCCTGGTACTCGAGTCTACTTCAAACGCTTCATCTGTATCGTCCGGAAAGTACACTTTATGGAAAATTTGAGTAGTCTTATGTTGGATTGCTTCTACTTCAACTTGGTGAGGTGGATATTTCCTTTGGCCATTCCGAAGAGTCTTTTGCAACCGTTGCAGAGAATCTTGGGAAATTGGGTGTCTTCTGCTTCGTAGGAACATGGTGAGTTCTTTCAGTAAGCTTTGAGAGCAGCTAAAGAGTCCTGTCGCCAACCACATGAGTTCCCATCCCCTTTCTTCGGATAATCTAGAAATATTTTCAAACAAATTATTATATCAAATTGCAAGGAAGGTTAATTATTCGCAGTACAATTAATTAAATCAGTGTGTAAATATTTTTTCAAATCAATTAAGACCTCCATATCTCTACAGGGAGATAGTACTAATTAATAATAATAATCTTTATTTCAAAAATATGTCGACTATTACAGCTTGTACACAGACAATATAGAATGAAATAATGTCACAAAAAAAAAAAGAAAAAGATTACATATATTCATAAATATATACATTTCTATAATTCGGTTTGGTCTAAATAGTCACTAACACTATATGGTTCTAAATCTATTGAAACATTTTTTTATTTCTTTTTTAGATTTCTTTATGCTCCTCAAATCTGTGATTCGATTAGGCAATTTATTGTACAGCTTCATTGACATGTAATGATGAGGAGTTTTTTCTGTTATGTATAGGGAGCACGAAATCATTTTTTCTTGTTCCATAGGAATGTTGATTAATATTGTTAAAGAACAGAAAGAAAAAATACCTAATAGAAACGGAAAAATACGGCAATATAAAGACCAGAAGAGTAATATTAGTAAAAGGAACAAGAGAGAAACCTTTATAGCAGTATAAATAGTAGTGTCCAATCATTAATGAGAAGTGGAAGAAATATGAAAAACCATTGAAAAAAAAACAAAAATAAAAAACTACCTATTCAATCGTATGTTGAATCAACGGAGTAATGAAAAATAAAACAGTTAATTGAAGAAAAACAATTGGAGCTCTTTTCTATTTTGATTTTAAATATTCAGAAATAAACAAAAATAACACTATAATTATGAGAAATAGAAGTTTCTATAACTAAAATGAAAGCAGCATGAAATGAACATTTGAAATATGGAACAAAAATATTTTTGATAATCATAATTCTTTGGAGTAGTACAAATGTTATATACATTTTTAAATTGTTATGCTTGTATAACCCTTCTTCAATTATTCGATAATTGAAACATTGATGTATATTGATCAGTAATTGCGGTGAAAAAACATCTGTTAAAATAAAAAAAAAAAATCTGTCTGGATAAATAAAAGCAACCATTATTATTTATTCAATTGAATATTCACTTTTTTGTTTTGAAATATTTTTCGTTTCCTCATTCGTTCCGAAAGATCATTAAAAATTATTATTACCTATTTCTATTGTCTGTCAACTGCTTCATCACTTGGCAGTAAATTTCATCCCGTAGTATTTCATGTTTCAAAGGTCCATCAAAGATGTGATCAGTATATTCGTTCCCCATCCTTGGCCTCTTCGAAGGTAAGTCGCCCATGTACTTTAATATGGCGGTAAAAGCGAAACAAGCTTCTTCGGCGAGTTCTTCCTTCATCAGCAGCTTCTTCAGAAGAGGTTGCTTGATCGGATCTCTGGAATGTCTCCAAAGATCATCGATTATCCTTCGATTCGATGACAGAGTGAGAGCTTTCGACATTGTTCTTTTCAGAGGGGGGCGGAAATGGTCTATGGCGTAGTCTGCTAGAGTATGAGGATGATCTCGAGATTCGGTTCCATTGACTGAGTATTGCTGGCTGAGTCGGCGACCATGTTCAGCCCCTGAAAGTTAGTAATATTAATAATTACTTATTGTCAAAAAATAAATCTTGTTCAGAAGAAAAATAAAATTACAGAACTACTTCCGTCTCAATTTTATCAAAAATGTAGAAGTGGAACGCAACCTTGTGAAGTTCCAAAAGGTTCTATTTTAGGGCCAACTCTATTTCTAATTTATATTAATGGTATTACAGAGCTGAATTTATGTGCTTCTATTAGCCTTTTGCTGATGATATAACACTTATTTTTGATTTGCAAAATGTTGGGATCTCATCAGTTACATTTGAATTTTGATTAATTTACTATACAATTATATCCAGGACTAATTCAGATAACAAAAGTGTTTTCCCCAATTTCAATCATAAATTGGTAGAATTTAAGAAGAAAATAAAAGTTTAGGCTTATTAACTGTAGTACACTTTTCATGAGTGAAGTGAATTTGAAAAAAATATTTAGATTACAATTTATCATGTAATTCACATATCAGTCGATTCAGAGAGGAACTCGTACCTCATGTAGGTATATTTCATAAAATAAGAATTATTCCATTCAAATATTTGAAAACAATATATTTTAATTTTTCCGAATTTGAGCAACACAACAGTCAATTCATCTTTTTAGAAATATTTACCACGGTTTCAAAAAAGAATCATAAAATGTATGTATAAGCTGAATCAAAGAGAAAGAAGTAGTAATCTATATAGTCCAAGAAAATTATTTGATATTAGGGGAATATATCATTTCAAAATATGCATGTTCATTTATAATGTGAAAGAAAATAAAGAGCATTTAGTAGTGTTTCGATAAAATCAATTCATTTTATGATCATAATACACGGCAAATACAAAATATAGTTTCACAACCACACAAAAGCAAATTTAGTCTAATTTTTTTTTTCGCTACGGATATAGTTTATAACCAAGCCAAGTTTCTTGGGATTAATAGATATCATCATTATCATTACTAATAAATGTAAAATGAAAACAGGAACATATACAACAGATTCTATTTCAGAACTAATTACTCTAAAATTCATGCAAACTATAATAGGAGCTGCTTATCAATAAATGTTTAATATTTTTTTCTGAAGGAGTCAACAATAACTTTTTTTCTGTGTTCAATTCCTCATATACTAATTTTACTTTATATGATACATGAAAAGACCCAATAATTTATAATATTCCAACAACTTGCTTGACATAACAAAATCTAGTTCAAAAATTAAATCATCTGAGTGTCAATTGATAAATTCAACATTTATAATCTTTTCATTATTAAATTTGAAATTCCAATAAAAGAAATTGATTTTGAATTATATACACTAAATATTAGAACCAAATACAAAATTTAACGAAAATACCTTTTCCAAGTACTCATGAGAGCAATAAGGCAGTTACTACTTATAATAATTTGAAATCACAAGTATATAAACTCAATCACTTAATCACAAATACTGATGGTTTATATATTTCATCGTTCCTTCTTGTGCAAAAGCAATAAAACATTTAATTTCAAAGTGAAGAAAGACCGTTTACGAATCTATGAAATAACTGATATCAATGCAACATTAAGTAACCACATAAATATTGTAACCCACTTTCACTTGAATCCATAACAAGTTTTTTGTTCTTCGGCGGTAAAATACTCGTGAAATGCTAGTAGTAATACGGTAGGACTGAGAGTAAGAAGATGTGTAATGACTGACTGATCTCATAGAAACAAACCTATAAGTTACTGACATGCCATTCTTCAATCGACCTTAACATTTACCATTCCATTATTTATAGGCAAAGACATTTATTCATATTTTACTGCGGTAATTTCGTCCAGTATATGCAACTCATATACACCTAGGAAATGTGGGTTGCTTATAACATGTTAAATAACTCTAGGGGGAGTTCTTTAATGATAATAAGTGATACACTTGATCATTTAATAGGTAAGCCTTATCAAATTCAGTAACTTTATTTAATATAATTTGAAATTCAACTTAACACTACATATACTTCATTGTTCATGTACACTTCCATGCTAGGAATAGCACGTTGAACGGTAAGATCTCGTTAATCTTAAGCTCGCACAAGGTTCGACTTCTGAGAGTTGTCGTTCGTAATAATAATAATAATAATAATAGGGGGGCGATAGCTGATTATCGAACTAACTGTTCTGCCATTGTAACTTATGCACTCATAAAAGTCCCGGATATAAACTCCAATTAATGTCTGTTGCCATTCTTTGAACTCTTGTTCATTGGCAATGTATAATATTGAGGTTCTAAATTTTATATATTGTCACGGTGGCGATATGACGTCACAACACGTAAATCGGGTCGCTACGATTAGTGGGGTAGGTACTTTATGTGAGGGGGGAAGTACAACAATATTTATCAAATGTTTTTCAGTTCATATTCACATAACCTACAAGAAAATGTATTTTTACAAGATATAAATGAATAAAAAGTTTAATTTATTTTTATCATTAATTTCTGAAAATTAACTAGGTAATATGACACTTATCCCACTGAGATACTAAGGCATTCTGTGATCTGGGTAGGCAATGTTAATAACTTCAGCCATGTAACGTTGCAGAATTTTCCCAACTTCAACTAGATATATTCTCTCGAGAAAAATATCTGATCGAGGTAGGAATCGAACTCACGACCTTTCGATCATAAGTCGAACGCACTACCACTTGCGTGAATTCATCGCTCGGGTTCGTATTAACCTTACTTATTGTGTAATATGAAATCCAAAAAAAAATCCTCAACAATTTAATAATAATAATGAACTGTATTTGATGAAAGTGTTAAAAATGGGTTTCTCCGTTAACCGGTTGTCAAATTACAACCGCCAAATGTCGAAACTGGATTATCGAGGGTTTTTCCTTTCAATGTGCGATTTCTGGCATGGATCAGATGATAAGCACTAAACACCTTCCAAGGATTGGGACCGATCCTATATTCAGAATAATGGCCGATTCAATATAAATAGAAGTAACATTAACAATATGCTCAAATTTGATGAATACATCAGACAACTCAGGTGTAAGACTGCTTCCAGATGTTATGCAGTGAGAGTGGTTTCTAATGCGCTCTGTTTCCATATCGCAAAAACCGTTTACCATGCGCTAATTCTATCTGAGGTACTGGAATACCGTTTTGGGGAGCATGCAATGCAATCCTTCTTTTTTCTGTGATGATACTGCAGAAAAGGACTATGAGATTTTTATGCAAAGCGAAGCATAGAGTACTGCAGGAAACTTTTCACTGTCAATACAATTTTTTAATAGTTATTAGACTTTTTTCCGGGTTTTTATGCCTCAGGTTTCGTCTACTACTGTGGTAGACATCATCAAAGGCGATGTGGTAACGGTCGCAGTGCCCGTCGTCCCGACGGGAAAGTTAGGTTAGGTCTAAAGTGAGTGGGTCTATTCGACCCTCCACCGCAACCCGCAAGGGTTTATTGTGTCTTATACATATTCACACTGGATTAAATAAACCCAGCTTCTAAACGTAGCCGATTAGTTTGTATAGTGAGTGGTCTTTCAGGTCAGATGGCTCTGCCGAACTCTAAAAACCTGATTCGGTCCCCAGTGGAGCAGGCACAAAGTATGTGCTCTGCTGTTTCATCATTTTCCGAACAGAGGCGACACACACTGTCTTCCGACAGTCCGAGTCTCTGCATATGATGATTCAAATGACAGTGACCTGTAAGAAGGCCTGTTAGACATCGTAGTTCATCCCCACTGTAGTCCAACAACTGTTTGGTATCAAGCTTCAAAGGGTGAATAAACGCCTTGGAGTGAGCCAATCCTGGAAGATTCTGCCAGAAGTCCATAAATCTTCTTGCCCATCCAGGTGTTCAGTGTTTGTTTGGCAAAGCCTAAAGCGATGCCAATGACAGGTTCTGGACCGATTAAGCTACTTGCAGCACCCTCCTTTGCAAGGATGCCAGCAGCTTCATTGCCTTCCAGGCCAGTATAGCCAGGAATCCAGACCAGAGACAATCTGTTAAGTCTTCCTATCGAGGAGAGTCGTTTTTGGCAATTTGCTACCAATTTAGACGTTGCTCAGTAGGAGCCAAAAGCTTCCAACGCCGTTTGATTGTCCGAGAATATTTTTATTGACTTGTCTATGAGGTTGGATTTATCCAATCTCTCCGTACACAATTCAATGGTGCAAATTTCCGCTTGAAATACAGTCGCATAAGTTCCTAGGCAGGTAGATATCTCTATCCTGGATCTGCCACTGAAAATACCTGCACCAGAACCGGAAGGGGTTTTTGATCCATCTGAGAACCAACAACTATCTGCTCTTAATATTTCCTTCTCCCGTAGGATCCAGTCCTCTCTACTCGGGAACAGTACTTTATAAGGCAATTCGCAGTTGACAGTTAGCGGCATAAAGTCAGAGGTCATTTCCAGAATGCTCTGACTTCCAGTGTCAACCAACAGTCTGTTGCACTCTGCATTAATTTGATTTGTGCACTTGGCAATGTGCACAAGTCTGTATACAGTCCATCTAGCCTCTCTCTCCAGAAGAATGTGGAGAGGAGGTAGATCTAGAAGACTCTCCATGGCCGCTGACGGTGTGGTACTGATGGCACCACTGATAGCCAAGCTTTGCTTGGGCTCTCTGGCTTACAGAGAATGTATTTGGCTCTTGTTTTATGTTAGTGGGCGTGGCTTGGCTTCTCTTAATTGGAATTTTTTGGTTTGTCCGAGTCGACAATTTCTCTTGTGTTCAGGGAGACTGGTAAGTTCACTTCCTTTCGTGATTCCAATGTAGACCAACCTGCAGCTACAATAAATCAGCTACACCGCGGGTATTGCTGTGGAGTCCTTAGCTGACCTCAGACTTTGTCTTATAGTTTTTGTTGGCCTGAATATTGATTTCACGTCGTGATTTTCTAAGATTCCCCCAATCCAGCCCGTAATATTTTCAACATAGGAAAGGAAAGCTTTTCTCTTGATCAGCCTAGCATTCGGAACTTGGGCACTGCGACCGTTACCACATCGCCTTTGATAATGTCTACCGCAGTAGTAGACGAAATCTTAGGTATTAAAACCTGCAGACCACGGTCAAAAAACCCGGAAAATAGCTTTTGCACAGTTATCAGAGCGTTTGATTTTGTTTTTAAGCCTTATGACACTCGCAGGAGTAATTATAGTTACAGACTTCCAATTCCTTCCTCGAATTTAATGATTCTATATACTATAATGGATGTGAATTATTTAAACACTTACCATATGAAGTGAAGTCGGCATCCCTAGGCATTGTTCAATTTGAAAAAACAGTGAAGAATCTGCTCACTGACAGACAGTACTTTGGTAAACCTTTTTACTAAAATGTTCATTTTATATTTATTTTTCATAATTTTTTTTTGTATTGATACTTTTACTTAAACATAACTATCCTTATCTTTTGTATTGTATCTTCCGTGAACAAATTTGTATCCACACATTTATAGTTTCTCAGATGTAAATCTTCTGACAAGCACTTTTCCCAAACCCCAGAACTGTCTTTAATGTAGATTCAATTTGTAATATTCAAGTAAGTTTTAGTGTATTAGTTATACATTCATTTCACTAGCCATACATACATATTATGTTAATAATAAATTAGGCGAGATAAAAAATAAAGGAAAATCAACCACTTACCCTCAACTGAAAATAATTGAAGAATGTCAGTCGGCGGTTTGGACATGCAAGGCAAAACATATACAGTCTCTGCTGGAAAGTCTCCCTTTTCTTGAGTCCTCTCGCATCTTCCTACACACCAACCAGAATTGAGTACAGTCTCTCCAGTACTGTCTTCCTCTAAAATTATCAGATCCCCTTTCAAAAACGTTAGGAAACTAGACCCTTCCCCGGGTGCTTTATAATCTTGTAAAGCAATCACGAATTTCGATCGTTTTTTCAAACCTTCCAAGAAGTACACCACTAAATCACGAATGTCCTCTGCATTAGGACTTTGAAAGGTGAATTCTTCTCCTCTAACAGTATTCAAACTGAAAGTTTGGGTGAATACTTTATTGGTTTTTTGACTGGATACCGTCGTTATTTCTGGAAAGGATAATTCCAGCAGAACTTGTTCTTGGTCATCCACTACATATACACCAGTCCAGTTGACTGCAATTATTACGTCATTTTTAGGAAGGTTTGGACCGGAGTTTCTGTATGCCTCATAAAATCGCGAGAAAAGTAGCGGCCATTTGAATTTGGCATAGCTTACAACGTCCTCTTTTACTTTCAAGGATGGTATCTGCAAAAAACAGCATCAATTTATTTCTCATTGGCTCAATAATGTTTCGAAGTTAGGGAGTTATATGGAGTAACCTTCATACTTTTGAAGTTTGGAATTCTGAATAAGAAAAATATCATGAAAAACTAATGTTCTTAATTTTTTTAATATTGAAATCTTTCTAAACACCAAGTTTATCAGGTCTGAAATGATGTTTTCGTTTGTTGATGTTTACCTGTAAAAGTTGACCAATTTAAGAAAAATAAAACTTTAAATAATAAATTTTGATTATAAGTATACAATTGATCATGAATTAATTTTTAAGGTCATTTTTTTGTAATAAAAAATGGAACATATTCCAATAATTATACCTCCGAATATGCCCATTCAAGGTTATCTTCAACAATTGAAAGAGATATCAAAACTTATTGTATCAGCTTTTTCCACATTGTCTTGTATCATTTTTTATTAGAAGAATAATTTTTCTTCTCTTCTAGTGAATGAACTTTGTTATCCGGATAACGAAGTATATTCTCTAGCTAAGAAAATATTTTCAGTTGAAACTGGAAACTACTACTTCCCTGGCTAATACCTCGACGGACTTTGAATATATCCGCCATAGATTATTTAATTTTTACAAGACGCATCAACTTTCCTGTATATTCATATGCAAAATTACCTTTTCCTTGACGTAATAACTCTTCTTGAAGGCTTGCACAACCGAAGCTGCCCACCTGTCAACCGCCTTCTCAACTCCCGTCAAGCAATAGTCCGGTATATAATTCGGCAGGAGCGTCAACAGTCTTTCCAAGTTCATGTCGGAGTTGTACTCAATGAAATATTGCTGAGCAGCAATCATGGCCAGATCCTCTTCTTTGTCGCACCTGTATTCTCCGAATTTAACGCCTCTCACTACTTGCTGATAAATGAGGTTAGTCGCCACTTGGTCTTCTGTCGGTTCGTGCCAAGGAGCGAATATTTCTTTGCGGAAGAACAGACGCCAAGGGGCGTTTCGTTCTTGGGCACCTTGTTCCTTTGCGTATTGTTCACACTACAAAAAATCACGAAGTTATTGTCAGATACTAAGTAGCCTTAAAAATTGAAATAGGACAATCAGCATTCGGACTTCGGATTGTTCACACTACAAAAAATCACGAAGTTATTGTCAGATACTAAGTAGCCTTAAAAATTGAAATAGGACAATCAGCATTCGGACCCAGCATTTAATATGATGCAGTATGTGTAAATAAAATGGTTGATATTATATATTATATACAAAAGTGGTCTCAATGTGGATCCCTGTGGAACATCAATTGGGTAGTGTAGGTACTCTCTACTCTGCATCTAAGCTGAAGACGGAATAGGGATGTATATAAGTAAACTCTAATTGAACTAAAACAGGTCTGAATCTTTTAAACGTGGTTAAATGCAGATTCACTACCACAGATTTGGTGGCAGATTGTAGGCTATAGCATGAAGCAAAAACAGCAAAGAAAGACCAGAAGAAATTTTATACTGCGACTAATGGCTGAAATATTTGAGAAAAAAGTGAGTAGGCACATAACGCAAGTAACAGAAGGTCAGTTGTTTAGAAAAACTTACATTTTCAGGACTAAAATAGCATTTATCAACTGATATGCAGGAAAATTACCATAGTTCAACAAGTTCTGATTTTTCTCCGAGAACCAACTGATCTTAATGATACTCTAATGAGTCTAATAGATATAGAAATTAATGTCAACTCTAGTCAAAATAGCATGGCCTTGAGATAGGCACCAGACCATGAAATCCTTTGATATCCATTGGAAAATTGGTGGTGACCAAACCAAGAGGCCAGTTCCTAGATATAAAAGAGGCGAAAGCAAAACATTTTTCGAAAAGATGAGCCCCAAATTTACAACCCATCAACTCAACCACAACTACAGAGCTGATAGTAATGATATTCAAAAATGAAAATAATCATACTGAGGTATTGCACTTTTAACAAGCTACAAGAAGTTAAGCTTGCAAGGGTATTCTGCTATTTTGCAGCCCTGCTGGAATCCGTAATTTGGACTACATGGAATTGATAGCCATGACTACTAAGAACAACTTTCTATCAGTATAATCCTGCTGATTATTTCTGCTAGATCCACAAAATGAAAAACCGTCAGTTTTTTATTACAGGTGAAATTCTTTACGAGCATTGAAAACCACCACAACTGATTTCTCTCTTCCATTTATTGCTATTAAAGAAACTGCCTGCACAATTGATTTGTTTACAAAAAAAATCACATTGATATTCTTGAATAATATTGTAATAGATCCAAAACAAGCAGTTTCCCAATCACCAGAAATGCAATACTCTTTTCGACGCGCGTTTCAACAACCAAGTTGGGATCTTCGGAAGATGAAGGGCCTATAGAGAAGAGTATTGCATTTCTGATGATTTTGGATTTATTCTACGCCACAAAAGTTCACGAATTATTTCAAAGCATATAAGGTGGAACTGTAGAAATGCAGCAAATGTAGACTTCCGAAGTAAATTTTCAGTTGAAAACCACTTCAAATCACTAATAACTTCGAAATTTTAACCCTTATTTAATGTGATCAAAGAGCTTTGCTTTGATCAACATCAATCCCCAATTACGCACCTGAGATATGGCATCCATCACATGGTCTCCCCCACTTCCCAAGGAAGAAACTTTATCAAAAAGCGCTATGTACAAGGAAAATCCAAATTGATCCTTCAAACCGATTTTATCAGACAACTGATTGCACAACTCCCGTGCAGTAGTTGCAGAATCGGCTAACAAAGTCTTGGTATTCCCATCCATGAAAGTGATTGGTAACATTATGGGCTTCTTCGACTTAGTAGCTTGGAGTTCCAACCAACTGGGTGGTTGATTCCGAGTTCCGTTGTTGAAGGTACGTTTCAGACGATCCTCACAGTATGGAGCATAACCCGGTGGACCTTCTCTGATGAATGCTCTCAAATAGCTGACGAATTTTTCTGATGGGGCGAAACAGCCAACACACAGTGACAAAAGGATCCATCCCCGAGCATGGGATGATTTGGAGGGATTATTGGAGAGTTGTTTACATATTTGACAATAGATTTCATCCCTGTAAATATAAAAAGGTAATATTCAGTTCGCTTTGAAGATGCCTATGTTCAAAATAATGAAAACACAGTGTAATAATAATAATAATCTTTATTGATCCCAGGAAACAAGAATGTTTATGACAGGAATAAAATTTAAAATAATGATTAAATAAATTATTTCAATATTAAATATCAGTTACATATACAGCACATAAATACATAAATANNTTATTATTATTATTATTATATTATGTCGTAAGAACAGTTTGTTTGGGTGTAACTCTCTTTTCAGTGATATAATACACGTAGATAATTTTATAACAAAAGGAATTGAAATTATGAGAAATTAAAAAAAGCACACCAAATTTTTTTTCTGCAAAAAAAAATGTCATTAGTATCCATTTTCATTATTTAATTAATTAAAAACAGTGGAGAAATGAGAACAAGCAAAAGCGATTTAGTGATTCTAGTGACTTGCTGAAGTGTAACAACCAGTGTTCTACCTTGCATTCTTGTGATATTTAGTTAAGTATTTATTCAATAAGAATGTCCCCAACATCATGTGCTGAGGTTTTCTCAGAAGTTCGATAACAAATTTTCACATATTTCAAGCAAATAGACCATTTGCTTGAAGTATCAATAGTGATCAATAGTGAATTGTATAAACGAACATAATTTGGTTGATTTGTTTATCATCAGAATGAGTAAGCAATATGTTTGTTAGTATCACTGGAGTCTTTTCCCACACCAAATCGTTATTTTTAACACCTCGACACGTGTTTCGATCACCAAGTGATCATCTTCAAAGAGGAAGAGTTTTAATCTTCCTCTTTGAAGAGATGAGGTTCCAAACAGTGCATCATAAATATATTTGTTCATTGAAGTCTCTAAAGTTCAAGGCGTGTGTATATTGAGCTTTTTCAATAGCAGCAGGGCCAGCATATTAATCAATCTATAACTTGATTAAAGGAGTAATCACAATCTAGGCTTTTTACCTGAAAATTTGACCATACACTGACCTTAGTTCAGCTCTGAGAATTCCATGCCCAATAATAAAGTGCAACTTCTCTAAGTTACTCGTAGGTCTGGATTCAAGCCATGACTGATAGCTATCGGCAGTGTATTCCTCGTCCTGCAGTTTCCTTCTAACGTCTTCGCCGAGTTTATTTTTCCTTTTCAGCGTCAGAGACACCAATTTGTTTCTGATCGACCTAGGTTTCTGCTGCTTTAGGAACGAATCTGGGTCTAGCCCCATCAGCTGTGCCTCTTGAAATTCTTTACTACGGATGAAGTTACGCCCCAAAGTAGCAGTTACCTTCGACATGACTGAGGTGTTGTCTCTGTCCATCGTGTGGTATCTAGGTTCGGGTAAATCTCCGGTGAAGCGTAGTATCGTTATCCATAGAGCCTGAGCTGCCTGAAATAACAATGAGGTTTTTTTTTGTAGACGTAGAATTAGCTATTGCTCAAACTGATGTTAGGTATTGAAAATTCGAATAAACTAAAGAAAAATGTACCGTTTTCAAATATTTAATTAAAACATATTTCNTTTTGGGTATTCTGTATTTATTTACCAATAGGTATTTATATTTTTATTTAGAATATTCATTTTGTATATTTCATATGGTGAATAAATTGACTGATTGATTGGATAACTGATGGAAAGATACCATGCAAAGAATATTTATAAAAGTTTCCAAAATATTTTTGCTTACCAGTTGATCTCCTTGGGTATGCAAAGGGAGCAAAGGGTGCTTTAAAGGTTTTCTGGAATACTGATGTCCAACATTACCCTGGAAATATGTAGCAGCAAATTTCTGAAATTTGAACTCACTAAGGTCTTCTTCATCTTCCGATGCTATGGCCATTGGGCTTATGATTTCATTTTCAGCTGGTTGTGAAGGTAAGTCATTAAAAATAGAAGTTTCTCGACCTAGGATAAGAAAAAAAATCAAGTTATACATTTCTATGAAATGATTTCTTATGGTAAGTTGAGAAGGTTTTGAATATTTTTTTAGATGTTAAATATTGAATATTACTGGAGTTTTATCTCAACACCAAACCGTTATTTTAACATCTCGACACGTGTTTTGATCACCAAGTGACCATCTTCAAGAGGAAGATTAATCAGTTTGATCAAGACACAGATTAATCATTTTAATCTTCCTCTTGAAGATGATCACTTGGTGATCTAGTCTGTGTGCTAATCTGTTATACTCATTTGACCAAAATAAGGTATCGGCTTTACAAAAGTTACAGAATCGTGGAATGAGGATTATTTTACAAGTGAATAGGTATTCTAGTATATCAAACATGTTGAGTACATTGCAGTGGGTGCCTGTTTCCCAGAGACTGTACGAGTTGGCAATGATATTCATTTTCAAACTAACACATAACTTGCTTCCAACTTATTTTGAAGAATTCTGTATATATAAATCTCAAATCCATAACCACTCAACAAGAGCGAGTAGCTCCCAAAAATTCCACCTTCCTCAAACTAATTTGACTAGTACGATGCAGTCTTTATTTTATAAAGGTTTGAATGAGTATAACAAACTCCCACTTTCGTTGAAAGATTCAATAAATGTTTTCCAATTAAAAAAAAAACTCATGAACTATATAAACTATCATACTTGATTTTCTTTTTTCTGTTTGGTAATTTATTTATTATGTATATCCTCATGTTGAAACCATTCTGGAATCATTGAAAAATGGTTTTTATTTCTTTTTCTTCTACAATATCATCATTTTTGTAATTTGTGTCATTTATTTATGTATTTTTGAAATAATGTATGTATATTAGGATGTCCTAAAGAAATCAATAAATATTATGATTATTATTATCGAAACACGTGTCATGATGTTAAAAATAACGGTTTGGAACAAAGATTCCAAACAATGCATCACAAGTATGTTATACATTGTGACGTTAAAAATGTTTTTTCAGATTAAGCAGTTTCTAGAATGTACAGTGAAATATAAAGGCAAAATAAAAGACCAAGAGAACAAAGTAATTTTACCAGGAGTTGGTGCTTCACTAGAACTGTCAGGGAGAAAGTCAAACATTGCTTCTACTAATTTGGAATCATCCACAGGCTCGTCTGCTTTTCTGGCTGCTTCGTTTATTTTGTTTTTCTTTTCTTCCACAATTTTTCTCTCTTCCATCTCAATTTCCATCTCTTTCCTTTCGAGTTGGTAGATTCTCTCTCTGCAACAAATATTTTACAGTGGACCATAATGTAATCAAAAAATGTGAATACTGAGAATTATTCGATTTCCTTGAAAAACACACACGGTATTTAAAAAGATTCGAAGGTATTGCAGTAACTATTATTCAATAAAAAAAATTGACGAGAATCAAAAGTCAATGGAATAGAATAAAATTTATCGGTATTTTTTGATCAATGATCCTTATACATGCACATGTAACATGGTTCCTATGTAAAAAAAAAATTAAACTAGTGCAACGTGTTATCTCTAGATTTCTGTAAAGCCTTTAATGCATTTTATTCTATCGACCGCTGCGTGAGTCGGTTGTTCAAGCCGCAGGCACTTGCTATTGTCCAACTCGTGTTAGAATTCACAAGTTAAAAGGTAAGACCTCGTTAGTCCTTAGCTCGCACAAGTTTCAACTTCTGAGGGTTGTCGTTAGTAGGGGTGCAACAGCTGGTTAACGGAAAAAACTAATTTTTATTTTTTTTAAACAATGTTCTTGTTTATAAGAAAAAAATTCAAAACAACGAATTATGTTCGAATTGTAAATAATATAAACTTGAAATTGAAAAATATTATGATTCGGTATTAGGGTCAATCTGTCCAGTTTTCTTATTGATACACATTACCTCAATTTCGTAATTTAAAGGTAAATTAAACTTCATAATGATAACACTACCCTGAAAAGAGTATACAGGGAAATTACCATTTACTGTTTGGAAAAGTTTCACATTCATGAAAAGAATTTTGTTTCAAAAATCTTCTGGCAAATCGAAAGGTAAAATTTGAAAATATCAAAACAAGAAATGCGGAACAAAGTGATTAGGTGGATATATAATTTATCTTATTTAGAAACCATAGTCGAAATAATATAGACCAAAAGAAACCATTTAAATATTGATATGGAATTGGCCGCGGTGGTAGTGCGCCCGACTCACGATCAGAAGATCGTGGGTTCGATACCCGCCTCGACCAGATATTTTTCTCGAGAGAATTTATCTGGTTGAAGCTGGAATGATTCTGCAACCGTGTTAGGAATCACACGTTGAAAGGTAAGACCTCGTTAGTCCTTAGCTCGCACAAGTTCTCAACTTTTGAGAGTTGTCGTTTAGTATGGGGGCGACAGCTGATTAACGGAAAAACAGATTTTTTTAACAGATTCATTTTACCTGTTTTCACTCACTTGCTAGCTAAAATAATTCTAACTTTGGAAATAAAAAAAATATCTTAAGTTTATTCTCTATATGTCAGACTGCTTGGCCTTGTGCTGGATGACAAACTCACGTGGTCAAACCATGTCAGTCAACTAAGCCTAAAATTGTCCAGCTCACTCTTTATAATCCGCCTACTGAGGCCCGTAACAAACTCATACACCCTACGAACCGTCTATTTTTCCCTCTTTCAAACCCATCTTAATTACGGTTTACTACTTTGGGGAAACTCAACAGCGGCACCAAAAATATTCATACTACAAAAAAAGGCTGTAAGAATTCTCTCCAACGCTAATTATCGTGATACATGCAGACCACTTTATGAAGCACTGAAAATTATGACCCTTCCATCTCTTTTTATTTTGAGCACACTACTGGAAATACATAAGAACCTGCCGAATTTAACTCTGCAATCCGCTGTCCACGAACACAATACCCGAGGGGCCAATAAAATCAGAGTACCCAGATATAGACTTGCTAAATCTTCCAAAAACTCACTCAACTACAAACTATATAATGTGCTACCAGATAAGTTAAAAAAATGCAACCATGTATATGTTTCAATTCACTATTAAACTCTTCTTGACGGACAACGCTTTCTACTCACTAGAGGAATATGAAACTATGTGATAAACGGGGGCTTGATGACGTATACTCGCTGAGCAGTCATAAACCCAACCTAAACTAATAGTCTCACATGTAGTATCTATGTTTAATCTTAATATTAACACTTAATTTTAACTAGTTACACATTTTATATCTTTTTTTTTTGTAACTTCTGCACTTTATATTTTACATGTTTTTTTTTATGACTTCACATTTTCATTATTTAATTAATTAAAAACAGTGGAGAAATGAGAACAAGCAAAAGCGATTTAGTGATTCTAGTGACTTGCTGAAGTGTAACAACCAGTGTTCTACCTTGCATTCTTGTGATATTTAGTTAAGTATTTATTCAATAAGAATGTCCCCAACATCATGTGCTGAGGTTTGATTATTGAAATAAAAATCCAACCTATTTACGTAAATGTTTGATTCTATCAATCACATTTGTCGAAGACAATTTATGTGCAATAGGAATATAGAGAAATATACTTTCTGAGGACTAGGAATCTGTCAGATCTAGAAAATACTAGGTCAGTTTTGGGGCCCCTTTTCTTCCCACTATTTATCAATGATATGCCGACTATGATATGCATTTTTATCCAATCAGACATGGAAAATAGACAGGTATTTAACAAGTCTGTTCGAAAAGTTCCATCTGTGGCAGGATAGAAATGATTCAACCACCTACTCTCTGAAATCAAACGAGGAGAAGTTGAAAATCACTTTGCAGTGACACTTTACTTTTTCACTTTATAATATATAGTTTTGTCAAAATCTGTTAGAAATGTGACTCAAGTCAATTCATTATTTTTATCATTATTAAAATGGTTGAATGAAATTGTTCAAAAAATTTATAACTTTCTTAGCGAGTAATTGTTTTCATTCCATTGTTAGAGTAATTGTGCAATTACAGTATTTCAAAAGAGCATATTTCGTATCTATTGTACAGGACCATACAGTTATGTAATTCAATATATTTTCATTAACATAGTCATCCTATTGGCATTTTTTGCCTTGTCCAATTTCATTTATTTGATGTCAAAGGATGAATGAATATTCTATTCTATAGTAATGAAGATGACGTGAGATTATAATTATGAAATATCCCTACCTGTAATGCTGCTCGGCAATTTCCTTCGCCCGTTTATTTCCAGCGTCTTTGAGCTCCCTCTCCTCCTTCTTCTTCAGTCTGAGAGCTTCTACTTGTCGTTTCTGTTCGAATTTGATCTTCTTGAACCTTCTTTGAGCTATCATCCTTCTAACGTGTGATTGAATTTTCATTATCGCCCACATTTTGTGCCCATACTCCCTCCTAACCAAGTACCCCCTGGCGTGAGCTTGCAGGCCCACTAAATGGCCCCTCAAATGTCTGAATCTGTGCGATAATATTCTCGCACGGATTAGGGCTTGTAGCCTCATGTAGCCGATACGCATTTTCTTGTAGCGTTGCCTCTGGATGTAGCCTTTCCAGTATTTTTGGACTATTATGGAGGCTGCTTTCATACGCAGGAAGCGTCTTCTGTATACCCATCCTCGAATGGACCTTTAAAATTAGTAATAAGTAGTAATTAGCTTCTAGATGTTAGGTGTTGTTGTAATATACCTTCCATATTCCTTCAAAATTGTTGTAATAAAAATTTAATTTCTTATGTACTATACTCATTTGGAGTTGTATCATTTATATTTCTTTTTTATTTTATTCTAATTGGATACCCAGCCCTTCTGATCCTTATTGTTTCCATCATGCCAGAATACCTCAGCTGCCTGCAGCAGAGAGTTCGGTCGAACATCATCGGTTTTTTAATTTCGTTGGGTTTGATACACCTTATGAAAAATGGCTGGCAATTCGAAAGAGTTCTCATGAGAGAATCCAGACTCTTCTTGAATTGGGTAGACAGAGTGGGTGCTCTCTTCCTAGTTTCCGAACCCATTCCGATATCCTCAGCGAAAATTTGCTGCAGGAACTTGTTGCTACTGACTGTGATGAGCTGAAGTAAATCGGCGCTGAATGTATCCCGATTTTTTTCTAGAAATCCTCTGGTGTCATAAAATACAATACCCGCAAAGTGGTTCAGACCAAAGCTAGTATTGATATCAGATCTAGGTTTCAAGTAATTCCTGTGTCGGCCATGCTGCTTGTGGAGTTTCGCAAGCAAAGTCTGGTCAGTTCCTTTGGGAAATTTACTTTCCTCATCTATGAGCGCCATGATATTCAATTGCTTGATGGCGATCAAATCTAGAGCATCTTGATTATCAACAAACTCTATATGCTGCCAGTTTATCCCTTCCAAATTGTATTCCTCCTGTTCCAACTTGAAAATATGTCGAACGAAGAACTGTTGCAAGTTTTCATTGGCAAAGTTGATGCAAAATTGTTCGAAGCTGTTGTGGTCGAAGTTTTCAAAACCGAAGATATCCAATACGCCTATAGAGCTTCGCTGGCGCTCTTTGGGCCTATATATCGCTTTGTTGATTTTTTTGACTATAAGAACAAACATCCTCCCGTAGATACCTTTGACGAAAGCGTCTCTAACGTCAACGCTCTGTTCACGTGATAGGGTTGACACAACCGTTTCTCCATGAGCAAATAAAGTTTTTCTCGTGAGTGCGTTTATAAGTGGCTGAGTAGGAACTCCCAATAGAGTTGCAACGCGTTGCACGTTAGTAGGGTCCGGTATTTCTGTGGCATCCAGATTGTCTACCACCGTGGCTTTATATTTGATGTTGCCGATATGTAGTAAGGCTGCCAACAATTTCATCACTTCCCAGATCTCGGAGTCTGAAAAGAGGAGGACTTTCATGGCGCTCCTGATGTCTGCAAACTCTGCGGCATCATCCCTCCCTTCGCAGGTTATACATCCTCCCTTTAAATAAAAAAAAAGAGAAATTTGAAGTGTTTTGAATTAAGAACGATGTTGGAAAACGTTGGTGGAAAGTGGATGTACATGAACCATTCAACTTTTGGTTGAAAAACTTTTTTGAAATCGTATTATACCCATATAATTTATAACATATATATGTTCCAATGTGAAATAGAAAAAATTGTTCTAACTGAAACAAAATAAATAGAAAGTATGGTAGAAAACTGAGAACAGGAATTGATTATAGGATAAAATGGCATAGAATTAAGCACGCAATCATGTATTGCACAGAAAACATTTTCAAAACTAAGAATACATTGTCAAATGAACCAAAAATATAATGAAACTTACCCCGGTCAGATACCTATATTGGCTGGCATCTCCTAGCTCCAACTTTTTCTTGTCGTCCTTCCCCAGTCCAGCCAGTATACAGTAAAACACGTGGTAATTCCTTTCTTCCGCATTTTGGGATACGATTCTACTTTTTTCTAGCAGATATTGTTCGATCTTGGCACCCTCTATTACCCCATTGCTGTTGAAATGAATGTCGATGTATTTCCCGAACCTGGAGCTGTTGTCGTTTCTCACGGTTTTGGCATTACCAAATGCTTCTAATATGGGATTCGCTTCTAGAATTTGTTGTTCGATCCAGGAGTGCTTTCCGCTTATGGCTGCCAAATACTGCAGAATCAGTTTCGTACTTTCCGTTTTTCCAGCTCCAGACTCTCCGGATATTACAATACACTGATCTTGACCATACCTAAATAAAAATAGATACATGACAGTTTTCAGAAAAAGTATGTTCATTAATATTAGAAAAAACATTCTTGAAGAGTTTGCTTCGGGAAGAATATGCAGCAAAGTAGATTACAAAATAACATTGTAACTCCGTAGGTACAATACATTTTAGGACGAAAAAATGGCTTCTGCAAAAATTATGTATAACATAGTCGCATATATAATGGATGGTTCTAAATAAAAGAGCCTGACACCGAAACATCTGAGACCAGAATCATTCGTTAATCGTCAATTCAGTGTACCCACTTAACGTAGGGTGACTTTTTGACCTGTAACTGGTCCAGAAATTCTCTTTTCATTTCAGTCCTGGAAAATTGATGGGTTTCAAGTCTCATTCATCATCAATTGCACCAAGCACCGATAGAGAAATAAAATTGACAATGCCTTCTTTTTTACAATCATTTTCTTGCAGAGTAAATGATGTGAGATAACAACATAAAATTTAAGTTACTCACCTATATTCTGAACTTGTTGATAAAACATAATTAAGGGCAAAATGATGAAATGTATGAATAAACATGAGATGGAAGAAAAATTATGAAACATATAAACCTAAACAATCAATTATTTATGGAAGAAAGTAATACAAATCATGAAATCATGAAACAACAAAAATTGGCCCTCCGGGGCGACTTCATTGATTCCAGTGGCGCATTTGCTTTTTCAGCTGCAGGAAAACCCGGAAATACCTGCAGCACCACATCATCTGAAAATCTTGATCTGCCAATATCCTCTCTTCCATAAAACAAAATGTAGGGTGTCTCTAGAGGTTTCAATAAATTCATGACATCGTGACACGACTATCGTCAAACTTAACCAGTTCGTCAAACTTAAACCAGTTTGTCAAACTTAAACCAGGCCAGATTCAACCTCAGAACCACAGTGAACAATGACTGCATGAAGATTATAATAGTGGTCTGCTAGATTGAAGTGTTCACCTATTTCGAACCTACGTAAGAGTTTGGTGCTTCCGTCAGAGGTTGAGTCATGTTTGAAGATCACCTGTGTTATTATTAGATTACCTGGTGCCTCAGCTATACTTGTTTTCTTATAATAGTCAGTTAGTTTGACGCAGTTTGGCAATACAGTTGATCATCACCAGTTAAAAATTCCTTTTTCAGATGATTTAACAATAAGCTTTGCACAGACTGGTTATTCACCAAACTCAAACAATTGTTCATGCAGTTGCAGTTTCGTAAGAATGTATCTATCATCTTTCTCACCAACCGATTTCCTGGAGTCTTTGAAGTCCACTACTCGTTAGGTCAACAAGAGGATTGCTCCGAATTCTTGAGGTTCTTGTTGAATACTCATCGTGAGCAAAAAAAATAGTAGAATCAATACTCCTGACCGCTCTGGATTGAATGATTCTGTACCGTCTATCTCGTCTTGTGTTTGTAGATCTTATGCTGGAAAAATCCTCACTTGTCTACTTTATAGTGAATGTTCAGGAGGTAGCAGAACCGTATGTGATTTTCTGGAACTTCAACTAGTGTTTCCTAATATGACTGATAACCAGTCCGTGCAAAGCTTATTGATAAATCATCTGAAACTGGAACTTTCAACTGGTGATGATCAACTGTATTTCCAAACATGCGACAAACTAACTGACTATTATAAGAAAACAAGTATAAATGAAGCACTAGTCAATCTAATAATAACACTAGTGATTTTCAAACATGACTGAACCTCTGACGTAAGAACCTAAATAATGAATTATACAATACTGTGAAGTTCCCTTATATTGTATAATCAAAGGTAAATTATATTATTATTGAGAAATTGAGTTTCTTAATTATGTTAATACATAATACAGTTATATTTTTGCATTTTTTACGATATTTTTGTTGGAATGCCATATTTTGAAACATATTGAAAACAAAAAAGGAGTACAAACTTATAAAACAAGAAACATTCTACAAAACATTCCAAAGGTTTCATAACAACTTAAATTTCTCAGAAAAAACTTGCGGGAATAGCAATATTACTGCCTTTTCAGCAGTAATATGAAATTGTATATCCCTATTCCAGAAAATTCTATTTCTTTCCAATTACAACACTATACCTGCGCATATGTCCGTAGGAGTTGTCACCGATAGCAAATATATGAGGTGGTAGCTCGCCAATTTTACGCTCCTTGTATAGTTTTATTTGATCGGCAGTGTATATCGGTAAGATTTGGTAGGGGTTAACAGCCACTAAGATGGATCCAGTATAGGTCTGTAAAATTCCAAGAATGTCTTTATGCCTACAACTTTTGGGTACTATTGAAATTGATTATTATATCAATAAAAACATTTTGTTTTCCTTAGCCTAAGATATCTTTCTGAAAATATAAGCTTATAAAATAGAAGTACCTGCAAGCATATCGACGCTGTTACTGCAAAATGTAGTTTGCCGAAGTTTTGATTTTTTGAATTTTAGCGCCAATCGACTGCTTTAATCAGTCACAAAATATATGGTATGTCCACAGAAGGGACAAAATTCAACTGACAAAAATAAAGTCCGTACCAGTAATAGAAAAGATTTATGGTTTTCTGTATCTCCTGAAAAGTAGCACTTTTTGACATAAGACATATATTGCAGTGTTTTCGTCGATGTGCCATTTTACAATCATCAATATAAATATTATAAAAAGAAAGTCTCTTCAGCTATATATGTATCATCTGCATTAAAAAATAATCATTTTAGTAATAACGTGTTATTATTAGCAACAAAATGGCTCTAGAATCGAACCTTGTGGAACTCAACATCCTAACACTGTGGTTTCATAGAGAATCGTAGAGTACTCAGTTTGAAGGTGTCACTGAACTAAAATATCTCAATCCTCAGATAGAAAGCCGCCTACTAATTAATTAGCCTCTTACATAAATGAGATTTTCGTTGTATCGTATAAGGAGATTTCTTAGGATGCCAGCTTCGTGGAGATCCCCCAAGCCTATCATGTCTTCCACCCCGTGAATAGAAGTCGCATGCATCGCTTTGATCCGACGTTCGGGGGACAACCAATGTTCGTGGCCATCGTCATCTTTTACGGCGATTCTTCTTCCTTCGGCCGACACCACCCTCGCACCTATGGCGACATCGAATTCGCCTCCAGACACTGGCTCGATCCATATGTAGTCACCCTGTAAAGGTAAAATTCAGTTAGAAATAATAATAAAATTTTATTTATATAACTATTGCTTCCTAAAAATATGATTCCATATCTAGCTACAGACTCAAAATTGGAAAAATACAAATTTTTTACCGATTCTTTGTTGAGATATTTGTAAACCACCCTTAGTCCATACGAAATTTTGCTCAATTTGTTAGCTGTATAATCAATCTGTGTTTCACTTCAAGAATTCATCAATATGGAGTCCTAGAAATTTGGTGTCTTCTGAATATTTTATAGTACCTATCTAATGTTAATATTCAAATTTTGAGGAAGTTCTACCTGTAATTGATTACTTCTAAAAAGTATAAGATTAGTTTTAGATTTATTTAAAATTAACCTATTCCTAGTGAACCATTCTTTTGCAACATAACACATTTCCTGTTTTTACTACTACAGGGTATGTTTCACGGCCTAATAATAAATTAGTGTCATCAGCAAAAACTGTAATCGAATTTTGTGTGTTTAAATGATAACATAAATCGTTTATGTAGATAATAAATAACAAGGGATCCGCAATGCTTCCTTGGGGTATTCCTACTTTCACTACCGCATTCTCAGATTTGTATGTTCAACCATGTTTGTTGATAGTTACTATTTGTTGGCGATCTATTAGGTAAAATTCAATCCATTTCAGTGAGTTACCTCTTATACCATATATAGTTCTAGTTTTTTTTAATATTTTTTATTGAATGATGCAACTAATTTTCCTTTATTTTCAGTACTTTAATATTAAATTTCACAAAAAGGATTTGAAGCTAATATCTTCTATTAATTATCTGCGAGCGCTTTCGACAGCTGGTCGTACTGTCATTTTCTAGGCACTCCTCAAACTGGTTTGAGGAGTGTCTAGAAGTTTGTTTCTAGTTTGAGGAGTGCCTAGAAGATGGCAGTACGACCAGCTGTCGAAAGCGCTCGCAGATAATTAATCTAATATATAAAAATGGATGTTTGTTGATTGGTTGGTAAGTGATAAACTTCTACATCGCTCAACCGGTCGTGATGAAACTTGACATGTATAAGTAATTTTTCATAGAGAAGGTTATTAGGCTATCAATTTTTCTGTAACTCGCCACTAGATGGCGCTGTAGAACAATTTTTTTGAAAGCACTGTTCTATAACGCTGCGCACGCCTAAGTTCGTTGATTCTGATTCTGTCAAAACATTGGAACAGCAGCGATACAGCAACATAGTACTAGTAGAAGATATAAAGCTTCAAATCCTTTTTGTGAAATTTAATATTAATTTTTTTTTATAAGTATCTCGTGACAATTGGATCGATGGAAAAATCAAACCACGATTGTACAAGATGAATGTGTTTGGTTTAAAGTGATTGACAAAGTTTCTTTGTGAATTTTACAAGTTCCGACTTCCATGCTCTAAAAAGATGTTAACTAATAACAACCAAAAAAAAATGGAATTTTAAGATTATTGAAAGTACTAAACTTCTTTTATTGAAGACTTGTTTATTTTGTGGAAATTCATGTTCACTGAGGATACACTACAAAAACACGTTTTTATGTGTGTTTTTTGTAGAGTATCCTCAATGAAATTACTAAAAATAACCCGACCCAGATATTTGAAAAATTTGTTGAAATAATGTAAAATAATAGCAAAAATGAATAAACAAACGAGGAGGAGACTGGTGGAGACTGACCCATCACAAACGGTGCATGGGATGTCGAAAGAACTGAGCGTCAGCTTCCATGCAGGGTTTGATGGTTTAAAACAAGCTCGAAAGCTCGAAAAGTGGGTTCCCCTACGTTTTGAATAATTGATAGAAACGATCCTTTTTTGTATCGGATCGTCACTTTTAATGAGAAGTGGATCCTCTACGACAACAGGAGATGTTCAGGACAGTGGCTGAACACCAATGAGCCACCCAGGCACTTCCCAAAGGAAAAAACCCAACAAAAAATACCATGGTTACTCTATGGTGGTCAGTGGTCACTATAACTTTCTGCAACCAGGCCAAACCATCGCAGCAGAATCCTATTGTGAGGAAATTAACGAAATGTACCAAAGAAGGCGTCAGCAGCAGCCAGATGAAGTCCGATTCTGCTCCACAACAACACTCGTCCGCTCGTTTCACAAATCACCGCCCGAAAATTGAACGAATTAAGCGTCGAAGTTCTGCCTCACACACCATACTCCTTAGACTTTTCGCCAACCTACTATAATCTTTTCAAGCGCTTCGATAACTTTCTCACCGGTAAAACCTTCGCCAATCAGGACCATGCAAAAACGGTTCTCGTCGACTTCATCGAATTCCCATTACGAAATTTTTATGCAGCTTACGGAATTGATCGACTTGTGTTACGTTAGCAAAAGTGCACTGATTCTAATGGCATTTGATTTGATCAAATTGAATGAAAGTTCACTGAGATTCAACAGTTTGAAGTAAACTCATAAACATGGACAGAACTTTTGAGAAAAACTTATATTTAATAGTTCACACAGATATCAACCTGCCTAGGATCCTATGAGACTGTATTTCAAGCGGAAATATACGCTATTGAATTGTGTGCGGAAAGCTTGGAAGAATCCAACAAGTCAATAAAAAAATTATCGGACAGTCAAGCGGCGTTGGAAGCTCTTGGCTCCTACCAGGCAACGTCTAAATTGGTAACAAATTGCCAAAAACGACTCTCCTCGATAGGAAGACTTAACAGATTGTCTCTGGTCTGGATTCCTGGCCATACTGGCCTGGAAGGCAATGAGACTACTGACTCCCTTGCAAAGGAGGGAGCTTCATCGAACCAGAACCTGTCATTGTCATCGCTTTAGGCTTTGCCAAACAAAGATTGAACACCTGGATGGGCAAGAAGATTTATGGACTTCCGACATAATCTTCCAGGATTGGCTCACTCCAAGGCGTTTATTCACCCTTCGAAGCTTGATACCAAACAGTTATTGGACTACAGTAGGGATGAACTACGATGTGTAACAGGCCTTCTTATAGGTCACTGTCAATTGAATCATCAAATGCAGAGACTCGGACTGTCGGAAGACAATGTGTGTCGCCTCTGTTTGGAAAATGATGAAACAGCAAAGCCACATACTTTGTGCCTGCCTCGCAGGGGACCGAATCAGGTTTTTAGAGTTTGGCAGAACTGCACTTTTACCATCTGACCTGAAAGACCACTCACCATACAAACTAATCGGCTTCGTTAAGAAGCTGGGTTTATTTGTCGAGTGTGAATAGGTGTGAGTCACAATAAACCCTTGCAGGAAGCGGTGGAGGGTCGAATAAACCCAGTCACTTTAGACCTAACCTAACCTATATAATTAGTATAGATAAGCAAGGTTTGAGTTTACTTATACTAGGGTTCCTTCTTCAAGGATGGTTGAGTCCCACAATGAATTCGTGGTTTAGTTTATTAGCACCACTGATGACACCTATGTCAGGTCGAAACTACTTCTGATTTCAAGTAATTTGCGGAGATACTGATCAGGGATTATTCTTCTCTACTATAAAATTTAGGTGACCGTATGAAAAGCCATTTTGGTTCACAGACCTGCTTTGCACGCATAATATACAATAGAATATATAGCATTGACAGTAAGATACTATTTCAATAAATGATGAATTGGCGGGGTTTCAGCTTGAGCTGGTTTCCAACCCTACCATGAGAAACGGAGTGTCTACAAGTATAGATAATCGTAATACAGAAATCTATAAAGGCAATCGAACAGATGTGTGTGATCAGTCCGAATTTCCTTTAAATTTGATTTTCAATTTTTTCTTGAAATTCTTTATACTCAACGAGTGATATTCATTCGGTAATTGGTTATATAGCCTGGCGGCATTGTAAGATTTGGGTACAATTGTCTGAGAGTATTATATGATACCTTACATAAGTNTTTCGATGAATGATTTGCGAGACTTTGATATTTCAGCGGTTACCTTTCTTAGATTTAAACGACGATTTTCAGTCACTATTTCCTTTACTTTAGCGATGCTAACTTCAGTTGAGAATGTTCATGGCCGACCATGGCCACCTCTTTTAAATGCACCAGAGTACCAAACCATTGATATGAGCATGAAATTTCGTTTGTAATACAAAATTTAAGATAAATTCTTTGTTAGATATTTTTTTATCCATTGTAAAAATTGTAAAACACGTTCAAGGTTAATTTAAACAAATTGAATACTGTAAACAAACTAAAAAACGGATGATACTTAAACTCCGCTCTAGTATAGAAGACAATTGTTTTCGTATTAGTCAGTG